CCTATGGCTCATTCAAGAGTTCAAGGAGGTGTACACATCGAAGACAAGAAGACTTCCTATCAAATGAACCCTGGAGTCGGATACACTCTTGGAGGAGGATTTCATTGCACCACTTTTGACAACATCGCTCAAATCTTCAGAGAAGGACTACGTCCCGGAGGAGGAGGCGACCGAATCAACACGTTCTTCGTGCCATTCGCACCGTGGGACGTACGAAGTCAGTCGGTGCTGAGATTCAGGAAGATCGAACAAACTGATCTTGTCTACATCTACATCACATACGATTCCCTTGCCAAGTTCTCCCCTCGATTGTCAGCAGACGGACACATTTTGGTCCAAGAAACAATTCCATTCGAATCATTCGATGCAGTTTGGTACTACGATTGCAAGGAAAAGGACTACTACCGTCTTATGATCACAAAGGGGAAAGATCAACTCGTGCTTTCAGTACAAGGAGCAAGGAGGGTGGCCACCATTGAAAGATTTGACAAACTCATTGGGAACATTGTGCCTGATGAATCATCACCCGATCTGAACGAACTTCGAAAGCTTGTCGACATCAAGACCGGTCACTTCAGTCATGCTCACAGATTGTTCCCTGGACATCCGGATTGGAATGATGCAATATCATTGTTAGCAGTCACTCATCATCCCAGCAAGGAGGACCATCGACTATGCCCCGCATGTCTGATGGAGACCCCTGCGCCACTATCGATTTGCGTGATGTGCAAAGGATTTTTGGTGAGTCACGGATGGAGGAAACGAATCAAGATCACCGTGGCTACAGTACCAAGTGCCGAATCACATCATCGAGAAGAAGATCTCAAAGACCATGTCAAGAAAGCATGGGAGGAAGTGAAGATCGATTTGACAGGTGATGGTGATGGCGACGAGATGATGCCAGATGATGATGACATCAACATGAAGAGTCCAGAACAAGAACCTCAACCAGAAGAGGGAGATGATGACCAAGCCTCGAAGAAAGGCGACATCAATGATGAGAAAAGAGACTTCAGAGAACAAGATGAGGTCGACAAGTTTCTAAACCAGGAAGGAAAACCGACCGATGAAAATGATGATGAAGAAATAGCGGTCGATGAGATCAACATTGAAGAATATGAGGCTGGAGAAGCTCGGGATGCAGTGATTGAGTACCCCAAGTGGATGAAGCGGATTGAGTTTGGATCAAAGGTCCTACCGATCGAGCCTTGCACAATTGGAGATGCTCAACCGGAGCTCATCAAAATCCTCCTGTTGCAAATTGGATTACATATCGTCAGGATCTACAGACTATTCCAACGGAACTTCTGTGGTGACATCGAGACGGCATGGAAACATTTTCAACAGACCCGAAAATTCAGGATGGACCTGGACTTACCTAGGCGAGGATGAGAATGGTGAACTCATTGAACCAACTGCACAACAGATGAAAGAGCTCTACGAAGAGATCGGCCGACCAAATCAAAAGGACGACATCGGAGAAGAGGGATTCGTCAATGCATACTATGGATCGGTGGTACTCAAACGACTTCTCGTGTATACCCTTGAATGCGGTTATACATATGAAGACTTGCAAAATATCTTCTTCGATGAAGAGATGGAGAAGCTGTCGAAACGTGACACAACGATGGATGAGATGAGGAAGACCACAGCGGCCCGCGACGCCCTTGACCGACAGGACGTCATGGTCAGAAGAATCATTGCAGGTGCATACAGGGTGAATGCTGTTTATTTCTTCAGGAACGTCGACTTTCAAGACACAAACACACTGAACCCAGTTGACATTGTGTGTGCTCTTCCTCCCGCACTTCGAAGAATATCACTTTTGCACCTGATCCTTCAAAATGGCCGACAATTGCCACGACCTCTACTCCAGAAGCTGTATGATGCGATCGACGATTACAATCACATCAAACAACGGGACGATCAACGACCAAGGTGGGGCATCCACATGTCTGACGCCCACCTACTTGCGATTGCTGATACCCCAACTCCTGCCGATCGTGAACGTGCTAACCAAGCCGCTGGCAAATCGAAAGCAGCCCCGAAAGCGGCAACAGCACTGGGCAGGGTGTCAAAAGCGAAAGCATCATCGTCAGCAACATGGAGAACAGTTGAAACCGCTCCTCCGCCGAAACAAGCTCCAGTAACCCCGCCACAAAAGGGTGGAAAAAGACAAAGGAAAAGGTGGAAGATCTTATTCGCACCGTGGTGGAGACTGGAACCAACAGGGATACTATGGATGGGGATATAGATGATAAATCGATATGACCTCTGCATAGGTCCTGATTGAACCTGGCGATGCGAGGATACAATCATTGCTCGAGATTTACCTCTATTTCATTTCGAATGATTTCTGAGAGGACTCTGAGCCGGCTAATTTATAACCACACATTTTTTTGAACATCATTGCGCGAGACGCTGAGTTTCTACAGCGGTCTACATCTCAACCGACGAAGGAACGGGAAGGTAAACTTCTAGTTCCATAGTCAACTTTGTGTTTTGATTTCTTTAATTCACATGCTTGAGTGGGATTCCATGCTGGCTACGCCACATCGGATGAACCTCAATGCTAGACACCGACTACGTCGTGTCTACGTGCACGTGAACAGAACCCTTTTATCTTTTGGTAGAGATCGTAGCAAGCCGCCATGTAGATGTAAAGTTCTGAACGGACTTTAGCTCTCCATAATTCAATAAATGAACAGCTGCAGATGTAGTGGATCAATTCGAGGGACACTCCTTAGCGCGTGGCCGACAAAGTTGGCCATGCGTGGGGGGTACGAATACAGTGTAGGCTACGGACAGTTGTATATTATCACAATTAGACACTCTAGGATCCAGCACCAAAGGGGCTTTTCAAACTGGCCTCTTTGGCTCAAGACCCACTGCAGCGCTGGAGAAAACAACAGCAATGCGGAAGCTGACGCCCTTGTAACGTCATCACTGGAACGACAACTTCGACATAAACTATCAGGACATAATCGGACAAGCAATCCCCGATTCGCAATAGATACATAGATACATGGATACATAGATACATGGATACATAGATACATAGATAGATACATACATACATACATTGTATGTATATATATATTGTATGTATATATATATGTATATGTATATGTATCTGTATATGTATATGTATCTGTATATGTATATGTATATGTATCTGTATATGTATATGTATATATGTATATACACATGTATATACACATGTATATATGTATATACATATTCATGTGAAATGGCCTCTTTATGGAGGAGACTCCAAGAATCACCAAAGAAGAGAGCTCACAACTGGCGATGGTTGTTGTGTGGGTTTCGACGATTTGCAGCTTGGGACGAGTTAGCAACTTAGGGTTATTGATGCTGCCGGTTCTCTCGCACAAAAACAGTGTTTAGTTCAAGCGCTGAACTTGTTGCTTGTGTTGGTACCGTTTCAGGATGACTCTTCAGAAGTGACGGGAGTATTGAATGTAGTTGGAATGGAACCATTCATTCCTTTGACAAATACAATCATCGGACGATCACATGCACATTCGGTCGCGGTTCATTGAACAACAACAGCCACACTTTACTCTTCTGGGCTTTGAGAACGTTGATACATACATGGTTGAGTCTTCTTCTCCTCGAATTAACATCGATGGTTTAGCCGTTCGACTCTTTAGAGGCTTCCAGAAATTGGATTAATTGCTAGTTGCACTAAGACGCTTTGAGTCTGCCTTTAGGTGGTTGATTTCAGGATCTAAATTTGCAGCCGAGTTGATGCACACATGGCGCATGCATTTTGTCTCATTGCGGAAGCTTTGCGAAGGTATGTGGCTCTTTTGGGCATTTGTCTACATGCATCAAATGGTACCTTGACCAAATAATGCTACTGCTGTGCAAATGTTTGTCATACACGCTTAGCCTTGATGTTTGAATCTCAACAAAAAGGCGAGGTGGCCCAGGTGTTCGTGGGCGAAGTCGACACTCCAAGGGTTGCCTGTGTTTTGAGGTGCCGCTGATTTACCCTGAACGCGCTCCTGGTGCTTGAGATGCCTACGTGAACACACAGCATTTTGCTCCGCTGTGTGTGAGCTGAGCACATGGGGCAACCCAGCAACCCGCGCAATGCGGTTGACTCGGTAGACTGCGGTAGACTGCGAGTCATGCGTAGCGCAGGTAGGGGCAGCTGAATTGGAAGCAATGAAGGCTACAAGGCCTTTGCGCCAAGAAGACGGTTCCCAAAGAAAAAAGTGGGAGCGACGGGCAGCAACAGGTTGGTCTCATCGTAGGACTTCAGCCTTGCAGTTAAGCTGTTGCGTGCTTTCGAAGGAAACTGTGGCCTACGGCGCACAGATTGGAGCGACGATTTTGCTTCTGACAGCAATGGTCTGCAACAGTGCCGGAATCTGAGTCTCATGAGTTCTGCTGTGGGAGTGGTGACAGGCAGGTGTTGGAAGACTTGGGGACTCTGCAAGGCATGGTCCGTGGTTTATGTCAGTGCTATACTGCTGTACGTTTGCAAGAAGGAGAGGCTCCAGTGGCACCAGCTCATGAATGCAGAAGCACGGTCCGTACTAGGTCTATGCAAAGCAATTCCAGTTGTAGCTGAGGTTCCGCAGGCATGAAACAATATGTGGCAATGCCGCAATAATACTAATTGAATCCAGTTGATGTCGTTTGGAACTTGGACACTCTAACCAGTGGTGTTTCCTAGACACGCAACAATCCCACCAGTGGCAGCTGCCTGTCAGTGTGCAAGTTGTTGTGGCCCGACGTTGTCGATGTCATCGACTAAAATTTCCAAATCCATGCAACTGATGCATTGTGTCATCCGCATTTGACACCATTTTGTCTCATTTTGGGTAGCGGAATACCTACTCTCTGTACAAAGATTGCTTGGCAGGAGAGTCGTCGTGCATCCTCAGCATGCACGTCGAACTCATGGTTGAGGCAGATGCGAAGAAATATTTCACTTTTGAAGCCCTTCGTTTATCGCTTTGAGTGATATGTTTATATCTGAGTTCGGCCAAGGTTCGAACTTGTGTAATTTGTGTATTGGTCCTAAACTGGTCCTATCATGTCCTATCATTTCAAGGCTCTTTGTCCTCTTGCTGGCTCTGTCACTGGCGATTTCCTTAGCCATCAAGGCAGGAGCCTCAGCCATGCCGCCTCGGCGTGACCGTGACATACCGTGACCGTGACAGGCATGGCTGCCTCCAGACATTCTACAGCGGCCCTCCATCAAAGACATTGCCAACTTACTCTGCCAGGTCAGTGGGGTATGGTGACCTCAAAATTCTGGCAAAATTCTGGCATAAAAATGGATGGTTGAAGAATGTTGAATGTTGAATACACCAAACAGATACAAACACTTTATGGCAGACCTTTGTTGGTACCCCAATTTCGATCCACACACCTGAAGACTGAGCATCTGACCCGCCAGGCTTATGCCGACAGCCCAGCTGGCGAGTCATGCAAAATAGGCTCTGTGCAAGGGAAAGGGAATGCATGGAGTACGGATGATTAAAATTGATTAGGTATGGACTCTGAATTTGCACACGTATTTGCACCGAAAGTGATGCATGACAAAAAAAGGCTTTCCCTTGAATAAAGGGGTTTCCTGTCAATTTTCCCATCATCCAATTCCGGTCACCGTTTTCCACGCACATCAGCCGCATCACCAGGCGGCTGCCAAAGCCAGCGCTACTTGTGTGGTCAATCCTGGGCTTTCTGGGTTGGCTTCATCGAGCCTGAAGAGGCTGGTTGAGGACGATGGTTAAACCAAGAAGACTGGGATCAAATCAGCAAAATTGATGAAACATAGGGGATTTAAAAAATCACCCAAATATGGAAGTACCCCAAGAAAACTTCAACTGGGCCTAAGAATGGAAAGGTCCATTTTTTCAGCCACCGGCAGCTTTCAGCAGCAGGCGCCTGGCGATACCACCTTCACCTTTATGGCCTTTTTCTCTGAAACTTGCCGGCATGGCGTCATGGAAACAACCAGCAGCACACATGGCATGCCATGGCTCAAAGTCAATGTACAGTGAAATTCACTCAGTGAACCCATACAATTTGTTAAACCAGCCAGTCTTGGTGGTCAATGATTTGGGATTTGGAGTCATCATGCGTTATTGAAGGAAAGCACTTCCGAACCTCAGGTGTGTCTGGTTAGACATATTTGCCTCGTGGAAATCGGCAAGGATCTTGCGAGGCTCTGGCTGCATGCCGTATGTTTTGCTTTTGATTTGGTCCAACTTTGTCACAGCGAGGAAAGACTCCAAGGATGACACCGACAGTGAGAAGATGCCATCTCAGGACCTGTTCAACCAAACGGTAAAATGAGTTTGTTGAGAGGTGGCTTATATTCCAAAGTAGCAATTTTATCTATACAAATCATCACAAACATGAAGATGGGATAGTCGAGTTCCCTTTTTGCGGACCCAAATGGCACCAAGCTCCGGTATTTTTCCTGATAAGAGCTGATAAGATCTGCAACCTGAGGAGCTTGTTGATAGCACATCGCCAACGCAGGTCGGCAGCCATTGATGAATGGTCGGTGTCAGTGTAATATTCATTTCAGAGAATCCTGACAGGTGACCACGATTCGACTGGTGACAACTAGCATACTGCATATGAGAGGAATAAGAGTATGTATAATGTATAATGTATATATATATATATATGTATATATTATATATATATATATATGTATATTATATATATATGTATATATATGTATATATATATGTATATATATATATGTATATATATATATATGTATATATGTATATATATATTTATTATACATATGAATATGTAAAGATACATACACATCACATACTGTGTATATATATATAGTATATACATGTGCAGAGGTATGTATTACTGCTGTTGTGATGTCCATCGTATTGCCACTGCAAAACAACGTTGCCGAGGTGGATGCCGAAGTCACCTCCGAGGCTCGGAAAGCCAGCTGAATTCCTATGGAATTCCTATAGGTTAGATGTCTGAGAATTGGGTTTCGGACAAATTGCATCCCAAATTCCAATGGTCCAATGGGATATTGTTCCATATTGTTCCCATATTCCATTGAAATATTGTTGCCAATGGGATATTGTTCCATATTGTTCCCATTGAAATGGCTATTTGGAGGGTATCCCGATTTTCTACTATGCACCCAAGTTGTCTGAGGAAGGAAGGAAATGGAGTGATGCACTGCCGTTGACCCCTCGGACGAGACTGAGGGCGAAAGTGTCGCATAACTTCAGAAAAAATTGGCTCGCTCTTGGCGGGAATTGTCTGTGATGGCTAAGGCAATTGTTTATCATTTGGTCTTCCTTCGTTCTGACCTTTTCGCTGGCTTTGACCGCACTCTTGTAGCTTGTCAACACTTGTCCAGTTTTCCGTGGGCTCAGACACGGAGACTGCAGGTGTATGATGGAGGTACAAATGGGTATTGTGTCCAAGTGGTTGTAAAAGGATAGATCACATATCCTTTTATGTGGAAGTGCCCAATATATTCCATGATATACGATATATACATGTATGTATTCAATCCACTTTGAGAAAGTCACTCCGAGGCAACCACGCTCGAACCTCTTCACATTGGGTCAGGAGCCTCCAGCTGACGTTGCTGGAAGTTGTAGGGCCAAAACGGTGACCCCTCCAGATGGTTTAATGGGAAAATGATGATACATCAGCAAGTGGATTTCGGTGTAGCCTATTTTCAGAGAAAACCCAGTGATACCAACAAAGGCTGGGACAAGGGTCTGCGAGTTCGTTTGACCCACGTCAGCAAATGAATGGTATTGCAAAAGTTTGTTTAGTTGATTGCATTGCAAGCCCTGTGTTGTGGCCCCTTTGAGCGCCTTCCGAGCCTTGACATCAATGAGGTTATCTGTCTCTCCTGGTGTGGTACATTTTCTCAGCGGAAGGGGTGCTTGGTCCCAGTTCTGGCGGCCACGTGGGTCAGACAAGTTAGTTTCTCTGATCAGATCCATATGCTTGGATTGCAGCTTAGACAATTGCCCGTGTAGAATTTCAGCTACTGGTGTGTTGTTGGCAGTATTTTTGTTGCTGATTTCAACATCTGCAACCCCATTTTCACAAGGCCCCACTACCTTTTCCATTTGATGCTCCATAACCACTACGTCACTACGTGCTGGAGACTTTGCAGTCTTTGAGGTTAGAGGTGGGGAGACAACCTTGGCTTCGCGTTCGAATGCCAACAAGTGGATTCTCGCTTGCAACCTGGCTGATGGCTCAGATCAATCTGCTTTGAACGCGCTGTTTGAGTTTCGCTGTCGCCGGGGCTGCATCTTTGACCACAGGTCGTAGCTTTCGCCTTGTGCCTTTTTCAGTGCCCCGCAGTTCCATGTCCCTTCGCCGGCACCTTACAGTGATCAATGACCAATCTGAAGAAGGGGTGGTCCACTGCATCTATGTGGAGTCTAGATGAGATTGTTTATTTGGACTAATGGTTTGATGGGAGTCTAGTTTCAAAAGTATTTCCTGCAGCAAGGCCACATCAATTGAGTGCGGAGAAGAGGCTGTGATGTCGGAGTTGGGCGTCAAAAAGTCGAGGAAAACCTGTGAATTGATTGGGTTACATAATCATCATTAATTACTATCCCTATTGATGGCCATAAATAAGGGGTAAAAAAAAACCATCCTCAGACAAAGTTAGTTGGACGAAGCAAGTAATTATCCCGGCTGGGAACATTTCGTCGATTTCGGTTTCTGTTTTCCGTTTTTCCAGAGAAGACATCGCCGTGGACCCCAAGATCTTTGCCGATTGATCCTGTTTCTCAACTCGCAAAGTCCCACTGTAGGATACCACTAGACCTGATTCGCCCCGATCCTTCATGATCCTGCACTTTTGAACGCCACTGTCAGTGGCAGGGTTCATCTCTACCATCTCACCTCCCTCTCACCTCCCTCTCACCTCCCTCTCACCTCCCTCTCACCTCCCTCTCCCTCCCTCTCCCTCCCTCTCCCTCCCTCCGTCCCTCCGTCCGTCCGTCCGTCCGTCCCTCCGTCCCTCCGTCCCTCCGTCCCTCCGTCCGTCCGTCCGTCCCTCCCTCCCTCCCTCCCTCCCTCCCTAGACTATGTATACCTATGTTATATACTGTAGATAATATATATGATATATATATATACACATAACATTCTCTGACAATTCCGCCATGGCTGAAGCGAAGCCTACGCTGTGGAGGCCTGTCCAAGAACCTTTATGGTTTCGCCATCTTTGTGCATGGAGTGCCTGGGCGATGTTGATTTTGATGTGTGTTTTCTTGGGGTGATCTATACCCGTTAAAATAGGCAAGTGATGTGATTTGATCCATATATATATATATCATATATACACACATATGTATATCATATACACATATGTATATCATATGTACATATGTAGATGTATATATAATATACCTACCAAGTGTACATGGAAAGCAGCTAACTTACTGACAATGACCAGCAACTGTGAGGCTTTCTGAAAGATCCAGCATCTCTTTGAACGGAAGCTGCATGGAGCTCAGCTGCGCATAGCTGCGCCACGGGTCGTGCCAAGAACGAACGCGACTGGTGGCGCGCCAAGGGCAACCTCTCACAATGTTGCTGGAGTGGATTGGAGTGCAAAAGTTTCCAGAAGGCCACAATTGTTGCGTCAACCAAGTGAATCAAGTCATTCCAACAAGGTAAACAGGTGCAAAGTCCCATCAAACATGTCCAAGCAGTCATTTTGCTGAGAAGTTAGTGACTGCAAGTGTCTCTCCTGTGAATGAACAAAACTTGGCTAGTTGAGACAGCCAGGAAACTCATCTCGAACTATTCCGCAGCAGCATTATTGCATCACAGCAAAGCAAATCTGAGTCATGAAGTATAGAAACCAGAGTTCATTAAGACTTGATGCCGATGAACTTTCCACGTTTGTTGGCAAATCATTTGGGCACAGTTGAAACCGTAGTCTTTAAAGTCTCGCTCCTGAAAAGCTTTGCTTTGTACCTTTTAAATCCTGTAGTCTTTAAAGCCTCATTTTCGATTTGTGTTGCGATTTGAGCTGTTGCTTGCGCTCATCCTGCCTTCTCGGACCTTGGGCCTAAATCTTAGGCCCACATGGCAATGAGAAGAAATTGCGCTTAAAAAATTGAAGGGCTTGGATTGGCGCAGCTTTCCCTTGCAGCCAACATGCTTCAATACATATTCATTCAACTGCTCTTGTCTTTTGTAGCATGCACATGTGTGTTGTATGTCCTGCAATCGCTCACCTGCAGTCTTTTCGCATGCTTGCTTCATATCCCTTTGTTTGAAAAGCTTGCCGCAATCTTTGCAGCCACTTATAAGTGGCCAGCCGACAGGCTTGAACTTCGTATGGTGCAAAATCTGGATCTTCCTGGTCTTTGTGGCATCCCTCATGCAGGCCACCTGACCATTTTGAGTTGCTAGACTTGCTTTGGTTGTCGTTCAGGACCTCACATTTGACCGGTGGAATGAGCGACTTCATTCCCACTTGTGCGGAGAGGTGACCAGGGGGACCAGCAGGGCAGCAACTGGATGGTGGACAGGGCAGCCCAAATTTGAAATAAATTTGATGCTTTATCCTTTTCCCCATAAAAGTTGCCATCTGAGGGTATACCTTATTTTCAGACAAACCTGGTTGAAGTCTACTTTGTTGTGTGATACAGCCAACTTTCAGACAGAAACACGATGTTGTTCCCTGCAGGTGAAAATCCGCAGTCTGCGAGAGCGCTGGTACCACGACACTTGGCACGAGTGGCTTCGGAATGTTAAACTTTTAGCTGTGGAAGTGCCGGGACTTGGGGAGTTTGATCCTTTTGTCTCGCCTGTGTATCACGCCATAACAAGACCATGAGGCCGCATGAAAAGCTAGTGTACCGCTTTGTAGAACTCAATGAATTGCAGGAAAAGCGAAATCGACAGCTTGCCAGCATGGAGTTCAAGCCTCCTGCGCATATATAATATCATCAATTATTCACCATTCGCGGTGCAACTTTGATGCCAAAATCATTTTTTGCCCCAAGGAACACTTGTTGCACTGGCGTCGCTATGAACTCAGACGTATTGACATGAAGCACAAGGCCTGTCAGTCATTGAGCACTTCCTGATACGACCAGTCCCACAACCAGTCCTTGCGGCAGGTGCTGATGGTGAAACTTCAGAGCCTGATGTCTTACATTGGAGAGTCATGCCCTGAGAAGTCGAGTTCCAGGAATTCAAAACTACCTAACTAGCCGAGTTGGTTGGCAATGATAATGGGTTGCTCTTAACCCATACTAGTAGTCAAAGGAAGTTTGTTTTGAAAACTTCTGAGTTACGGACGAATGTCCAGGGGCAGTCTTGTCATCAATCATCATGTTCATCATGTCATGATCATGTCATCATCATGTCAATTGCAAGCATGCGAATTCACGGGTGAAGACACCCTTGGGCGCGAAACCCGTTTTTTTCCCGGTAAAGTGGCTTCTGGGGTCGCCTCGGTAGGGTCTCTGTTTCCGCGGGTGCAGGGCTCGATCTAGGAAAGTTGTCGAAGACTGTAGCCAGAGTTCGATTTGCACTTCAAAATGTTCAGCAACTGCAGCGTTCGGAGCACTTTTGGAAGATGAGGTCGGCACAATGGCTCGATTTGCATTTCAAAATGTTAAAAAACTGATGGGCGCGGAGCACTTTTGGAAATGAGGTCGGCAAAATGTGCACCAGACGGTATTCACCCCGCTTCGCGTGGGGTGGCCGCCCACACCGCAGGTTTATTTCGGTCCGTGAGAGGGGCTAAGGGTGGTTTTCCCCCGTGGGGGCTCCCCAAGCTAAGAATTTTCACTTCCCCCCCCAGCTTCCCAAGCTATGGAATTTTCACTTTTGCCTCCCTTGGAGGCTCTCCAAGCTGCGGAATTTCAAATACCTAGACAACGACGCCTAGATAGTCCCCCAAATCCCGTGTTCTTTGAAGTGTGTTTTCCATGTTTTTGCAATGGTTTCCTTCAAAGCACGGTACTTTACACTTTTGTCGCCATAAAACCGGTCGAAAACATCATGTTCGACAATGCTTCCAATTCCCTTATCTCCCCAACCGTTGAAAATACCGCTATTTACAGTGTTTTCTTCAATTTTTCCATGTTCCAATGCCGGTAGCCAAGTCCAACATATATATAAGAAATCCTTGCAAAACATTGTGTTTGACAGTGTTTTTCCAATGTTTCCAGTCAAACAGACGGTAATTTACACGTTTTTTGCCATAAAGGCAGTAAATCCTTCCAAAACATTGCTTTTGACAGTGTTTTTGTAATGTTTCCAGTCAAGCATACGGTAATTTACACGTTTTTTGCTATAACGTCAGTCCAAAACACTTGTTTTTGCAGTGTTTTCAATGCTCTGGCATCCAAAAACCCTGCAAAATCTTGCTATGTACAATGTTTTTTTCATTTTTGGCCGTTTTTCCATTGCCGGAAAGCTACCAAAATGACCCAAAATTCCATTTCAATACCCTCTTGGGCTCAGACACCCAAAAATCCTCGAAAAATATCGAAAACACCACCGAATTCTGGTCTCGGTGCGAAACCGTTTTTGGGGTCTGGTCTCGGTGCGAAACCGTTTTTGGCCCCCCCCTCCCCCAGCTAAAGCTGATATAGCGACTGCTATATTAACAAATGTCATTGAGCATTTAGTGTTGCTGTTGCCCCCCAATAAGCACGCCTTCACCGCCAAAGCGGTGTGGGCGGATTTGCATTTCAATGAGTTTGCTGCATGTCATCATCATGTCAATCGCAAGCCCGTGAGTTCATGGGTGAAAAACGCTCCGGGGGCGAAACCCTGCGTTTTTCGGGTAATGCGGCTCCTGTGGTCGCCGAAGTAGGGTCGCCAAAGTGTAGAGGACTGGAGCGAGAGTTCGATTTGCATGTCAAAATGTTCAGCGTTCCGAGCAGCCCCGGATTTGGGTGGTCGAGTCCCCAATGTCAGCGCTCCGGGAATGTTGGTCGATTTTGTGCGACGCTCCTGCTATGCAAATTTGCAACCGGCTGTGGGCTGTGAGCTGTGACAAAAAGCATTGACACGGATGCGCGCAGCAAAGCATGAGTGATGCTGGACGCTCCTGACAAGTGGGATTGCATCTGGACTGGAGGTTGCTAAACGCATTGTAGCAGCTGTGCGAAAGGTAGTTCCTGATCATAGTGCCACCCTTGTGCCATGGGGAATTGCAGTTGGAGGTTGCTAAACATATTGTACCAGCCGCACGAAGAGAAGAACTAGAAACTACAGAAGAGCTAGCCGGGAGGCAGCTCAGAGCAGAAGTAGCCCAGATAAGTGGCTGCTCAGAGAAGAAGTAGCTGAGAGAAAAGGAAGTAGCTCAACAAAGAAAAGTAGCTCATTCATCCATCCACCCATCCACCCATCCACCTATCCATCCACACTTCCTTCAATTCATTCGTTGGTCGCTGATTCATTGATTCATTGGTTCGTTGGTTCAATGATTCATTGATTCATTGGTGGTTCATTGCTTCATTGATTCAGCGACTCATTTGTTCATTGATTCATTGGTTCATTGATTCTTTCAATCAACTGTGCGTGGATTCTTTCATGCCATGTAATTGGCATTCAACAGCCGCTTGCTCATTCGTTGTTGCATCTCACAACTGCAGCACCTTGTTGCTTCTACACATCAAAAACATTCCTACAATCTTCTTCCTATAGCCGCTTCATTTTTACGAAACTTCCGCCCCGGCGCGTGCCGGGCACTACCTGGTAATAAGTTACCCATAGTAGGAACCCATTGTTATTAATAACCATTAGGGCATTGTGAATGAACTTGGTTTCACAGGCATTGTTAATTAACCCATGATAGGAATAGCGGTCTGGCCATGGCTGGAGGTTGAGAGCCATTTGGGAGAGCAAGCGTGGTGAACTCACAGTGCAAGAAAAAGCACAAAGGCAGGCAACGACAAACATATTGGACAAACAAAAGGGAACTTCACCATGAAAAATTGTGGGTTAACCAAGAACAAATGGGAAATAGTGGGGTATCATAAGCAAACATGGGGATTCAACCAGAAATTTGGTGAGATGAGTGAGTTCTGGCACGTTAATACGCTAAGAATGGGAGATCTTTGTGGATCATGTTAATTAAGTTTCTCTCTAGACGAAAGCCCTAGTTTACAAAATGTTGCATTTTGCCCACTAGTACCGTTATTCGATTGGGCTCTCCAAATTCAGATGACCTTTAGAAAGCGAGGGCGACCATGCCAAGGATATTTTTCAGCGTGTAACCCGCAGGGGATCTCATTTTGTTTGTTTTGAAAAGCAGATCCAAACTGAACCTGGTACTTTGTGTCGACTTGTGTAGACCTAGTCCTTTGACGATGAACCCTCAAATCACGACCACTATTGGCAGGGCGAGAGGAGACCGGATTTTAAGCCTGTGCCTGCAAAGTGGTCATGCACCACAAGTGGTGGAGCCTCTTTTGGAGGACACTGGCAGTCACAGGGAAGCAGCAGTGGCATATGCGGTCTGATTCTGCTAGTTTTCTTTGCAGCGTCTAGGAATTCTCTGCAGAAGCGGCTTTGACTTCTGGTCCTTTTGAGAGGTTGCTGTCAGGCACAGGGAGAATGAAGTTTTCTTTAAAGCCTTGACACATCGCGTCACGACATGATGGGGGTCTGGTTGGACTCCTTCGATTTTGCAGTTGGAGCTGGCGTCTCATCAGCAGCACTAGAGGAGGAGCCCTATGGTGGCGTGCTGCTGGATTACGGGTCACACACGGGTCACTGCCAGGACAAATTGTCGGCAAAAGATACCACCACGTGGGAGGCAGCTGTTGAATGTGTATGTGTGTATGTATATATATATATATCGTATTATTTATATATGTACATTACATGATGAGAGTTGCTGTCCAGCTTGCTTCCAGCTTTTCACTGCCTTTCATCAACCACCTTGGTTTCGATGTTCGACCACACAGGTGGTGCATCTGGAAGCGATTGAAAGCATCAACAGCTGCGTCTTGGAACATTTGCAGGACGACTTCGCGGTGATTAAACCGTTTAAACGTAGGATTTCCGTGGAAATTTGAGGCCATTCATGGGATTAGAACTTTTGGGGAATGGTGCCATTGGGCCATTGGTCTGGCTATCCATGGGATATGACGGGTTATGGTAATTAAGCTATCATATGCAGCGCATGGAAACACGTAGGTATGTGAAGGCACCATGTCCACACACTGAAATGCATGTATGACAGCCAACCTCAGGAAGTTTATGGTGGCGCAAACATTTCAAGACACTCATCCTGTCGAAAAAATGTCTGCACACCTGTCCTGCTACTGTATTGGCAAAACGATAAAGAATATGGAATTCATAATAGTGGCCGTGAATGGCCGTGAGACAATGAGAGTCCAAGAATTTTGGACCTTTTGCATAGTTGTGGCTGGAACTGAAACGGATTGACCAGGCTGCTTCCCGACTGCTTCTTGTGTTCGCACCAGGACATTCAACTGCAGCGGCTCAGACGTATTAGTTCCCAGGCCCGAACGTATGAAGCAGTCAGATACCCTGGTGCTCTTTTCATGTTGCTGAGTCGATCTTGTTGAAAGCTCAGATTGCGTTCGGTGAGACACGCAGGATCTATCCGAGCGCAAAATCCAGCTGCTCCAACGTTGCGCTGCTATTGGAGAGGCTCAAAAATAAGTCGAGTAGACTTAGCAATTCTACTTTCAATCATGTGGCGGCATGATTTTGAGAGAGCGCAAGGAAACTTGTTCTTCTTTGACAGACAGTGCTGCTCTTTCAAAGGTGCGCCTTTGAAAGCCAGATCTCAGCAGAAACTTTCTGTCCAAATGAGTTGCTCTCCCTCTCTCTTCTAAGTGGCGCAAGCAGCACGGTCTCCTTCTCAAATTTTGTGTTTGAACAGTCAGTTTGGAGTGAGAATGTGTGGCCAAATTAGACTACGGTAGTACAGAATTCCATCTGTGAGAGCCAGGGCAGGGGCATCTCGGATTGTGACAAACTGCTTGCTTGCGTGCCGTTTTCGGGCAGCGTCGACTTGTGATGCTTCAGTTGTCAGGAGCCAGAAGTACCTTCAGAACATACAAGCAGATCAAGCACCACATTGAGGCGGTACGCGCCTCGCATTTGACCCTACCCCAATGGTTTCGCATATGACCCTACCCCCATTTTGGGGTAGGGTCGAATGTGAGAAAGTAGCGTTTTTAGCTGCGAAAAGCGGGTCCCGGAGATGATGATGATGATGATGATGATGATGATGATGATACTAATGAATGTAATTGTTCAAGGGGGGCTGATTGATTTCATACCAATGAATGTAATTGTTCAAGGGGGGCTGGTTGATTTGATACCAATGAATGTCATTGTTCAAGGGGGGCTGGTTGATTTGATAGCAATGAATGTAATTGTTCAAGGGGGGCTGGTTGATTTGATAGCAATGAATGTAATTGTTCAAGGGGGGCTGGTTGATTTGATAGCAATGAATATAATTGTGCAAGGGGGGCTGGTTGATTTGATACCAATGAATGTAATTGTTCAAGGGGGGCTGGTTGATTTGATACCAATGAATGTAATTGTTCAAGGGGGGCTGGTTGATTTGATACCAATGAATGTGATTGTTCAAGGGGGGTTGGTTCACGGATGTCTGGTTTGAGGCAGGGTAAAGTGGGGTAGGGTCAAATGTGAACCGGGAAATGTTGTTTTTTTTCCTGGAAGGGTTGCGTATTTTTGTTAGGGTAGGGTCGAATGTGAGGGTGCGTGCGGTTCTTTTGGAGTAGGGTCGAATGTGAGGCTGCGGTAGGGTCGAATGTGAGGTCCGTACCCATTGAGGCTGCAAAAAGGGTTTCAGGGTTTCAGGGTGCGGTTTTTTTCCAGAGTCTCTGGTGTCAGACCGTCCCTAGTTGGGGTGACAGGCTGAAGGGAGCAACCTCCCGCAGCAGAAGTAAGTTGAAGCGCCAGGAGACACAGGAATTTCCCAAGGAGAAGGACTGCCAATTGGCTGGAGTGCTTGTAGCAAGATGCCAAAATCTGTGCAGCACATGTTCAAAAGCTGTAGGTTGAGGCTGAGTTATCTGACTCCAGGATACTCTGACAAAGGTGCTTGGCATTGTCAAGGCATGCTGTGTCCTTACTCGCCGCAGTGGCGCCTACTCGCCTCCTATGCTGGGAGGCGAAAGTCGTGCAGCTGATGAATTTGGCAGTTTCTGGCCTCGTGGATGACTTCCTGTACACTTGCGATGCAGTGCCTCGACAAAATTCTGGTCAGCTGATCCGCGTTTACACCGAAACACCTTTGTGTTTCAGTTGTTACAGCCATGTTTATTCTGTTCTGATCCATATCAAACTGATGTTGATTGCTGTCACTGCATGACGAGTAGCTCATGCATCTATGGCAATTGGTGAAGTTGTGAGCTGTCAAAAGTGACGGTGAGAGAGGATGATATATAGGAATATATAGGATTATATAGGTAGACGATGGTAGACACCGCCACTGTCCGGTAGATCTTAACGTACTTCGACATCACTTGTGATGGTTTCTCCGGTGGTCCCAAACACCCAACTGAGTCAAAAAATACCTCGATTCCTTATTACAGGGAGTTATATACCTGGGTTATTGGGGGGTTATTGTAGTCCATAGTAGAGAAAGCTATCAACCAACTATAATGAGATGGAATAGGGCTATTTTTCATGGCTCAACTTGACTCAGTACTTGCTTGCTTGCGTTCATACTCCTGAGATTGGATCCTAACTGCACATGGTTCCTCCATTCCTTCTTTTTCTCCCTGTGCCTTCCAGCTTGTCTTCTTTTTGACTGCCACAGCTGCCAGCGTCCTCATTGTGTACCCTGTTATCACCCTGTGAGAAGACCCGTGTTCTTGTCCTTATTGGTTTTCAAGTTTTCGGCGACTTGTTTCCTTTCCAGCCCCTCGATGCTCTCGTATTCCGTGTGAGTTCCGCAGGTGGATCTTGCGTCAAAGGGATTCTGGTTGCCAAGGTAGAAACTCTTCAAAGTCACCGAAGACATGATGGTTTTCTGACCTTGATGTACAAGGCTGGGGAGTGTGGAATATTGGGGAGAACACCCGAGCTGTAGCCGCAGGGGCGCTTACTTCACATCTTTTGAAATGTATTGACTTGATTGTGTTTGCAGATGTGAATCCCACCGTGGTGCTCCTTGGGTGCAACGGGTCATTTTGGATTCATTTGGTAGCTGTGCCATTGGTGGCAGAGGTGGCATAGCGATTTCTTGCCTGTGCCAGTAGCCCATCATGGTTGACAGATCTCTCCTTTGCACATAATCTGTTTTGCTGATGATATTTGACTGTAGTCTTTGCTCATCTGTAAATTACTTGCACAAGAAACTTTGGAGCTCATGAGACTGCTCGCATTTTTACATATCTTTTTTGTTTTTGGCATTCTGCAGGCGTTCTGGTCACAAACGCTACCCCTGCTCTTGGTTGTGTCCTTGGTGGCCCGGCTTCAAAGTGCTCCTTGTTGTTCAAAGCACGAGATGTGATCGCGTCAAAGTGCCACATGTGAGTTTCCAGAGGTGCACTTCACAGTGTATACTTCTGTGGTGAGCGCCATGACAATATGCGCGATTGTGGCTTCCCTGATGTCTTTCCCGCATCAACATCCACTGTTCTGGAAACTTGGCTGCACACCAATATTGCAGGTGACGGACCCCTGTGACATTGAGCCATTGTGGTGCCTTGCAAGTTGCATGGTGCAGCATGTTCACCTTCGCAAGACTACGCTGCTGAGGAAGATGCTGATCTACTTCAACCTGTGCGTAGTCCTTGTCAAGGCTTGTAATCGATGCATTGAAGTCGCGGCAACTGCTTTGAAACAGTTGCATTGAAATTGTTGAAGTGAATGATTGAATGATCTCCAGATCTACATCTTTGTGATTTTACTTTATTTCAATTTAATCATTCTTTGGCTCAAGAGTGAAGTGAGGTTGTCCACAGGCGGGAAAGTGTGATCGGAGCAACCCAAAAAGTTGAGCACGGCGGGGTGAAGTGTACTATGCAGGTCCTGCAGGTCCTGCAGGTGCCATTCTGCAGATATCAAACCGCTTGGATAAACCTTGTCCATCTTGTCCCACGCTTCAAGCGGATCCTTTTCCCAGCAGTGAAGGAAAGGCTTGGAAACAAAGTTTTTGTCGAAGTGTGCCTGGGTGATGAAGACTCTGACGCGGCGTTGCTCTGTCAGGAAAACAAAATGACGGCTATACCTTCTACCAAAGTCTTTGTCACACACAGAGCCTTGCGCGGCACCAGCTGAAGCATGGCATATTCCTTGCATCCTGAGGAAGATAGCCCAAAAATGCTGAACAGGTCGGTAAAATCAGTTGTTAGCCCTAGTTGGCTAGGTTCCAACCCAGCCAGGAGAAGGCTCCAGCAGCGATTTTTTCGGGGATGATTGAGATCGAACATTTACTACTTGTCATTCTGTGAGAACTGAGATGCTGCAAAAGCTTCTGGCATCTCAGTCCTAAGAGACTGACAAGCATTGATTTGAAGATGGGTACCAGCCTCTGAACCGCTTGATTCATTTGGGCGGCAGAGGTGTTTTCACGATTCGAAACTCAGCCTCCATCACCGAATAGGGACTATGCAGTCACAATTCGCTTGAGACTTGCCGAACTTTGCCACGAGAAATGGTTGACGGCATTCCCATCTACGAGTTGTGGTCAAAATAGCTGCGTGCAGAAATCTCAAGGGTGCTCTCTTGCAAGGGTTTCTATGAAGGTGTTATTGCTCTTTCAAGGCGCAGCAATCCCCGTTGCCCAAAAAACGCCAGCGCAGGTGCTATATCAGCTGCCGATTTTTCCAGTGTCAGTGGACACCAGTGGCTTGCAGGACCGGTGCCCTGAAACAGGAAGACCAACATGGCTGGGCAACGGGCCAAAAATGAAAATAGATACACTGAAGATCACTGAAGTATGTAGGTATATGACATTTGATCCATTAAGGAAAAACCACATGTGGCACTGTCTGGTGTTTTTTACATGTCATTTACAATTGGAGTGCTGGAAAAAAATGCAATGAACTTGTTTTCCCGCACCTTGGCGCTAGCTTTGCGTTAGTGTGGCACTAGATGATTTTGCATACATTTTGTTCTTCCAATTTGTTTTTTTTTGAGCCAGGAAAGTGAAGCCCAAGCCTTCAAATAGAGATGTCTTCTCCAACTGACACATGTTGTTCCTCCCAATGCGTAAGGCATTGCATAGCATCACATTGCCTTGAACACACACACATGCACGCATATGCACATGTGTATAATGTGCGTATGTATAAATATATACATACATATTTTACATACATGTAGACACTAGCAACATCAAACCAATGATGGCAGATATTTTTTGCACTTTGTTTTGGGGATTGAACTAAGAGAGACAGGCTTGGGATTGTAGATTGACCGGCAAATAACACAGCGATCCGGTTATTTTCTCTAGTCACCGCTACTGAGACAATGTCGGCTTCTGATCAGGAAGATTTGGAACATGGGCTATTTTCTGGAATCCCTGTGCCGTGGGAATCAGTCCTTGGGCTCATCAAGGTGTGGTTCAGTCATGTTTTTTTGGTTTCTGCATGCGAGAGTCGAGAAGACTCCAAGTTGAGCTTTTCGTCACTTGTATACTGATGGAGGTTGCACCCAAGCTGTCAGACGAGGACTGGACTTCCGAGTCTAAGCTATCCCTCCATTCCATCTCAAACATGCCTCCACTTGCCTCGTATGTTTGTTGAGGCGGCAATCTCTTTTGAAGATGCAAACCCAAACAAAACAGTTCTGACATTGAGGCCTAGTGTTTCTGTGCAGGATGAGACAATATCGAAAGAACTCGCTGCAGCTCTCAAACAGCTCGAGAGTCGCAATCTTTTCCGATCTTCTTTGTTGGGTCTGCTGCCACTTGGACCAATCGACGAAAAATTGGGCCGGATACAGCTAGTAAGACACCCAAGGACCATGTGATCGGAACAAAACAACATTGTATCCCATACAAGGTGGTGCCCCCCCAGTTATAAATGGGTTATAATCCCATTAACTAGTTCGATAGATCACCTATAAACTATAGTTATTGGACTTACAAACCAACTTAGCTAACGAACTGGGGCACCACCCTGTAGATTCCCGTAGTATTTGGAGTTATTTGGGGTGATTCTTTGGTGCCCAATAGGTTGGCTCGGCCGCAACGAGGTGGCCAGACCTGTTGGTGTTTGCCTTCCTGGTCCGCCGAGCTCAGGAGTTTCAAAGATGTAGATGTAGATTTATCCAAAGATGATCAAATATCATCAAATATATCGAAGTACATAGATAATATAGAGATGTATACTGTATATATGTAGATGTATATCATATATATATATACACATGGACATAGTTGTTCTTCTAGCCCTAAAGATGCGGATGATGATCGGTCGGAGTTTTTGGAAGGTATTTCACTGGCACACTCTGCGCAACAGTGGTCGCTTGGCCAATCCAGCTCGGATTTGCTGCAGGCTCGGCTTTTTCGCTGAAGTCATGCCTAGTTGTAGATCTGAAAAGCTGGACAGCTCTGTGTTAGCAGCCAGCTCGTGCTGCGGAAGGCTTGCCATGGACGACCTGAAAAATAGGCTTCTGCAGCCAATTGTCATGGTGTCACATTGGTTTTTTCGGCCAGTTCTTGGAAAACACCATGATGTGTTGCTTTCCTTTTCAAGCAGTGCTGTGGGAATCTTGATTGTTTTCTTCAGCCAGGAAAGGAGGCCGCCACTTGACCCTGTATGGGATGAAGGAAGCAGCAGGGTCTGGGCCATAGAGGCGCTGACTTATTTTGGTAGCCCCAAGAATCGACATGCATCGACATGCCATGCATCGACTCATCTACAGATCATCCAGACACGCAGGTTCAAAATTGGGTATGGGTCAATACCTATAGATACATTTTAGTGGGATGAACATCCATTTACCAGATATTTTGATGTTCACCAGGGGTACAAGGTTTTGACACACTGCCAATTCTTCAAATGTGTTCAAGTTGAATCTGCACTTGAGGCCCAAAATGCAAAAGAATCTTACTCGAGGGCTCTCGGAACTGCTGGGCCCACAGCTCTGCAGCCGTTGAATTCGTCTGTTTCAATGGCATTTTGCTCAGGCCTACTAGTCCTTGCGCTCAAGTGGAATCCAAGGGGTACTGCCTTGAGGCCAGGCTGTGCCTCTCCTGTGTTTCGGGGGTCAACATCATTTTAAAACCAATGAACTCCGCAGATGTTGGCAGTAAATACGCCAGGCTTTGACGGGCCAATTCAGGCAGGTCATGACACATCTTCCGCAACATGAGCTTTCCTAAGCCATGGGGGCACTGCATGGTACTGCTAAATCAGCCATTTTCACAGGATTGTCCATTATAAAGCAACCATTTTTGCGGGTACCCCCATTTATGGAACCTCCCTTGTAGCTCTGGGCGTTGGAATTTGCTTCAGCGCCAGGAATATGTGGAGGGCCATGGGATTGCGAAAACCTGCGATGGACTTCTTTGTCGTTCGAGCAGGTCTGATGATGCCTTTGCCTCAACCAACGGGCTGTGTCTGAACAATCTCTAGTGGTTGATTACTGCAGAATAACTATGGATAACCAGTTGATAACCCATATATGATCATATATGACAAGCATGTAGTATACTGTAATCCCCAGTATCAGACTACCCAACAAAAATTGGGGATTCTCATCCATTTTGAGTTCAGAATTGACACCAAGGTGCTGTTTTTGCATCATCCTCATCAGCTGGGAGCGCCTGGTGGAAGGCGGCGAATCCTTCGCAGACTCATTGACTTCGAACAGCTTCAGCGGCGAGCAGGCCTGGGAGGGACGATGGTTACAGGCAAAAACCAGGATTTCAATGCAGAAAAATGCTTGTCCAAAGATAAAAACGGTAAAAACATGTAAAAACACTAAAAACTATCATCATTTTCCCACGCATTTTTCCAATAAAAAAGGCAACTCATTTGGAGATGCCGCATTCTTGAACAGCAATTCCTGCGTTTGGCGGACTGCAGGTTGCTGCTGTTGTGGTATTCCTGGTTCTGATGGTGCAAGTTCGAGCAGAATACACGTGGTATACACAGTGGAGAGGTGGGGATGGGCCATTTTCCCAGCAGATCTCGGGAGTCACCCGTGGTGGTGAGGCCCAGAAGCAAAAGCTGAGGACGTCGTGTGAGTCGTGTGCACGACTGATTTTGTTTGGGCACCTTTGGATAGGCCGACAGTTGCATTGATTTGTTTTCGTTGAAATGGCCAGGACAAGCGAGAAAGACAAGACATAGCTATTGACTCTCGAGGTGGGAAGTGGCTTCAGCGCTAGTCATGGTGTAAGATGCTTGTTCAAAACCATCTCAAAGCGCTGTGCTGGATATTGGTACCTTTCACATCCCTTTCTTCAAGTGTTTCACAAGATTTTGATATCTTGAAACCTTCTGGAACCCAAGTTCAAACAGTTCGGAACAAAGGCCGTGCCGAACATTTTCAAGTGGGGTGGAAGTACAGGACATCCTTTAGGGACTCGACCTTACTCCCTTATGCTTTCGGCATCGGTTCGCCGAAAGGTGCCTCTGCTGCCCGATCTGCCTGGATCTCAGCACGCCCAGACGCTGCCCAGCAGCCCAGACGTCAGCCATGGTAGCCATGTCAAGGTGAAGTCACCAGGGACAGGCGATGTAAATATCAATACTGCGGTGTTCCTTGGGCAGAGGACAGCGAGTGCATCATGCATCGAAAACATCGACTAGTGACAAGTCTGACAAGTCTTCCATTTTTTTGAAATTGATGTGTAAAACGGACTCAAGGACTTCAGGGCAAATTTGCCGTTGATTTAGACCAATCGCGTTTGTTTGCGTTTGGTCCATTTCACTGCAGGATCCTCTTTTTGACGGAATTGATTGGCTTGCACAGCATCTTCATTGTCCAGTGGCTTGGCCGAAGTGTTGAGGAATCATTTTCTCATTCAGAAAGATTCCACCATTTGCTCGATTCGCAATGTATTCTGCACAAATTGCACAATCTGTTTGCAAGGTGGGCCATCAGTGCAACAAATACGCCGAGGAACTGCTATTGACCAAGCCGTTTTTCACTGTTTAAAGTTCCATTGATATGTGAGGACATTTGAGGACCGTGTGTTCTGCCAGGATGAGCAACTCCGTCCAGCTTGCCTTCTATCTGTTCTTCATGCTCTATTTGATCTTCACCTCTCTCCAAATGAGGCACCGATGATCAGCCCGTACGGCCTGTGCATTCTGGGGATGATCGCGCCCTGGTAGAGGTACGATGTCCATGTGACTTCTGGCGGCCTTGGGTTCACCCACAGCATGGATCTCTTCACCAGTATCGCATTTAAGGCGACGCAGCGGTTTTTCTTTTCAAGCGCAGCCAGCGGTTGAACCGCCTCTGTTTTTGAATCACCAGCCAGCCAGCGGACCCAAGGTTTACCTGGCGATTCCCTTTGTGGAAGAGATGCGGGTTCTGACCGACTGGACCATCACCAGGAGCCCCGAAACGGTTTCATCGGTTAACCGACGACGGAAACGCATCCATTGCGTTTGACAGTTGTTCATGACACTTCAAAGGTGAACAAGATGTGAAAGTATGGTAGAGTTGTTCAATGTCAGGGACAGTTGTTGTTCAAGTTTGCTGGAAGAAACCTTGGAAGCGTTGAAGTCGAAGGACATCAATGGATTTCTTCATGTGGATGAAGTTGGAGGACGACCCGTCCAACGACAGCATATCACAGAATTCCATCTGAGCTCATCCATTCCATCTGCCAGGATACTCAGCAGAGTCTTTACAGGACACTCCGTGGCGGCGTGGGGCTGATCCATGTGGAGAAGTCTGGGTCGAATTTCTTTACCCCCATCTGCCAGGCTCTATGTTAATTTACCAGAAGGTAATTTATATAACTCGTTTTTGCCATGAAGTGGCCACACATTTTTTTTTCCGTGTTAAACCGGAACTTTTGGAGAACGCCAAGTGTTGCGTCGCGTTTGTCAAAGGACCAAGCGGGATTTCTACTTGAGACGTTGGTATCCACCTGCAGCTCCACGACCAGGATGGGAGAAGGCAGACGTTCAGCTGGATTGCATTTCAGAACGCGCATAGGAACGCTTGGATTTTGGCAAAGCCCCCAGAAAGGCAGAATAAATTGATGAATATATATATATATAACACATATATATATATATATAACACATATATATATATATATGTGAGTGTATATATATATACTATATACAACAATATATGTATATACTATATATATAGTATGTATGTATATATATATGTATATATATATGTATATATATATATGTATATATATATATGTATATATATATGTATATATATATGTATATATATATATGTATATATATATATATGTATATATATATATATGTATATATATATATATATAGTAAAGATATATATATATAGTATATATATATGTAGTAAAGATATATATATATATAGTAAATATATAGTATATATACACTGCATATATATATATACACATCCAACGAATAATATCTATATGATATGCATATATATATATATCCTACTTAACTTAAGAGTAGATAGCAGGGTAAACCGAAAGCCTTGGTGACAATTTTTGGGGGTTCCGAAGCCGTGCAGGTCTTGCAAGGTGGTCTACTTCTTGTAGGTCTGATAGTTCTCATTGTGCCTGCCTGAGACAGCGCTGGAATAATTATAGCAACCCAAAAAAGATCGAAAACTAAGGCATCATCAAATTGATAGGGACTTACTTTTTTATCTCGTGGAGGATGACTATAGTTATAGCCAGATAGTTTTTGCACTATTTTGCATTGTTTCTCTTGGAGCTGTCATTGGGCCGAGGTCGCACCCATAGCTCTTTTCTCCACCTTGAATCCAAGTTTGCAACTCGACCTTCAGATGCTTGTTGCGATGCCTTCGGATGATAGATTGCACCTTGTACTTTCAGCTGCGATGCAGGCAAGCAAATCGGCTGACCTCTGCTACTTTGTCCGGGAATCTGATTGTCCAATCTTCAGCTGAGGCTTCGCTAGGGCCGCTTAGAAGGATAAAACGAGACGGATAGTGGTCAGAATTTTAAGATGGAATCGGACCCCTTCATCTTGAGTAAACCGAGCCGTACAATTTTTCGAGGTGCCGTATAATATACGATACCCCAGAGGAGAATTGGACATGGCATGGTCGTGATTTCCAGAGTACTCGGAAGTCTGCGAAGTTCGCAGGGGATTCGACAGATGCGACTATACAGAGGACGGGCGCGGTAGTTTCTGGAAGTTTTGTCATGCTTGCCCCTGTACATACCCCTTTTTTTGCAGTTTCTGTAGCACGTTCGACATTGAGTTTTCATTGAGTTTTCATGTCGTGGTGTTTGTCAACTTTCCCATGTTGCATCTTGCTTGTTCTCCAGATTTGCAGAGTATCACTTCTCAAAAACGATCATGTGGGGGGTTCTTAAAATGGGGATCCGCAAAACCATGGGTTTCAAGACTGACATGGTCTAATTTTGGCTAATTTGGGGTACCGCCATTTTTGGAAACAATGAAAGAACGCTTTCTTGTCAAAACAATGGAAAGCGGAACGTATTTAATAGCAGTCGCATCTCTCATGAACGGCAGGATCGCAAGTCTCGATTGTACAAGAACTTGTTCACTCGGACATGCTCCTTGCCTGTCCTTAGTTGTCTTTTCGCATTTGTCAATGGGTTGGTTTAAGGCTTTAAGGGAACATCTGCTAGAAACCATGTCTGGTTCGAACCACAACTTATTCGGGTTTCCTGCAGATTTGCCGACCAATTCCAGACATTTCCTGTCGAACTGATCTTTTGACAGGTCTCGTGATGCAGCAGAGGTGGGAACTGCGCGTGCTTGATGTTTTTTGATGCATGGGGGGCATGCTAAATGGCTTCAGCATTCAATTCACAGGTGGGTATGGCTCACAATTTTCACCAATATCAAGCACCAAAATGGCCGATTGCATACTAACAATGACCCAAATTTGTGGGTCGCCCAGCGACTTGAGCCATAGCCAGCGGCGTCAGGTGAGCTTTGGGGCACTATCTGAGGAAACTTTCGATTCTCAGACGGTGTTCCAAGCACGTGTTGCCCAAGCTTTGGGACCTCTGGCAGCAGTGAAGTCTTCCCCCGCCCCCATTTCACAATGAGAGGTGTCATTTTAGGTCAAACAAATTTCCCTGACCTGTGAGGGTTTTACTCATCAAGGACCAAAGAAGGATTTGATGTCAACCCCGGATTAGGGGGGTACTCACCAAATAGTCATAATCTGATACTTAAATGGTACCCTCCCAATTAAACAGCCTAGGGCCTAGGGGTTTATTAATCCAGGGTTGACATTATTGATATTTATTGTTGAGCTTTTCCGGCATGAGCTTGGAGTCTAACAGTTTTTGAGGCAACTGATCATTTCATGCCTGGTTTTCCGTCCTCTGGAAACCTCCCTCTTTTTTCTATGCTTCCAGCTCCAAGGCGAGCCGGATGTTACAGCTTGGTTTCAATTCAAGCCCCTTGGCATTTCCACGGAGACCTAGGAGAAACAACTCGGGTTTCGGATCGATTTGCTGGTGCAATTCTCCAGTGAACACCCTCTGGTAATTTGTTACATAGCCATGGTATAGATGGCCCATAGAAACAGATGATTTTCGCTAGAAACCTCCATTTCTCATGTTTTTTTTGCAAACTATCCGGTGGATTTTTTTGAGCCATCCAAGAAATTGACACCTTGCGTTGCGTTTTTCAGGTACCAACTGGAGTTCAACGGTGACACGCTGAAAGGTGTCACTGCCAATGCTGTGCACCGAGCCTTTGGCCAACATCATCCTCTATATTTTGGTGATATTCTGGTGATTCAATATGGTAAATATATGGGGATGGGTCAAAACCCTGGTACCTAGTGAACCCCAAAATAGCTGGTAAATGGATGTTCATCCCACTAAAAATGTATCTATAGGTATTGACCCATACCCATATGGATATGATATGGATTAAGAATGATTCTTATACAAATGGGTATCGGTATTTCCAGAAATATGTCTACCTGAGATGAAACTCTTGAGGTTTTGAGCCCGTTAAGTGAACCCTACCCATTTGCAGTCCAGCCGCGGTTGGTAGTTTGACCAACTATTTGGCACAGTTCCTGAAGCTGGAGCCTGTTATCACTTTAATAGCGTTAAAATGATCAAAGGCAAGCAGACGTCCACAATCATTTCAAGAGAGCATCCGTTCTACAGATGAAGAGAGACCATGTTGACAGCTGATTGGTGTAAGAAGGTATTGACTTGTATTGACTTGGCGTAGTGAGGTGGTGGTCCAGTGATGGTTGGTTCTTGTGGAATTCAACCTCCCTGATACTGTTTGATAATGTCAATGTGACATGATGTGAAAGGGTGCATGGAAACAACCAAACAGCATGCGTAGGGCCTTTGTGCAAGGAGTGGCATTGGACAAAAACACGCCCGGGAGCTCACTCTAACTGACAAGTCTCCGAGGTTTGAGAATATGGGAAATGTATAACTCACCAACAATGGGATTTTTCATGAGATATGATGGGAATTTATCCAGGGAGATATCATCAAAAACAGAACGACACATTCATATGGGCATATCAACTTTCCCTAACTTTCCCACGTTTCAGGACACTGGACATTGGCAACCTGGTCAACGAAAGCCTCTCCCAGGATGTGACGACCAAGGTGCAGGATGGCGGACAGTGACCTTCCTGGGATTTTTGGGGCCCCTGTGAGGCAGCCATTCGCCTCCCGGCGGCGTTGCAAGCGACTCTCCGGGTGAATTCCAATTTGGAGGCCCTTTTTGCACCAGTGAAGCCATGAGATCGAAATCATGTTGACCTTTTGTTCACTTGACCATTAGATACTATATGATACTATATGTCTTGAATTCGCACCAAAGTGATGGAAACATGACCACAAGTATCTACAAGTATCTACGAGTATCTACAAATATCATCAAGTAAAAGTTGTGGGCTGGGAAGGTGAGGAAATTGAGGACTGCAGACGGCTGTAGGTCTCATTCCTGGGCGATTGGTTTGATCTCTACCTCACTTTCCAGTCTGGCGGCAGGCGCCGCCAAAACTGGTAGGGGGTCAAGTCCGGACATTTAGCGCATTTACCATCTGGTTATTCAACATAGCCATGGAAAATCACCATTTTTAATAGGTAAACCATGGTAAACCTCTATAAATGGGCCATTTCCCATGGCTATGTTAAATAACCAGAGGTAAATGCATTTAGTCATTTAGTCATTTCTATAGTATTGGACCATCATTCTTTTTCACGGGGCGTCAAGCATCAGTCGCCAGCAATCCAACCAATTGGACTCCGCTGTGCCCAGGGCGGAAGGCTGGGGAGCTAAAGTCGCTCGGCCAAAAAGGGGGTGTTGAAAAATGTGGTACCGACAAAAAACGGCACACAAAAGGGCAGGTGTTGGATGCTTTTGGTAGCCAATGGCCCATTATGGGTTCAACAATAGTACCCTCTGGTAAACTAACATAGCTATGGAAAATCACCATTTTCAATGGGAAAATTCAGTATAAATGGTGATTTTCAATAGCTATGTTAAATTACCAGAGGGTAAACTTTAGAGGGCTATAAGAATGTCATCTTAAGATATCTTAAGCCTCAGAGCTCTGCCAGGACAAGTCCAGAGGCCGATGGAGGTTAGGGAAGTCCAACTGCAAGGCCGGTAGCCTTTGTTGCGTCGTTGTTGATCTTTGTTGCGCCTTTGCAACTTGACAAAGATGTGTTGAGTCGTAGCTTTTGGGCCTGGCAGGATGCAGACCTGAAGCTGTCAGGCAAGGCATATGCAGACACAAAAAGTGTCAATATTTTGGGTTTGTTTAAGGAGTTTCTTTGTTTTCCCTAATGGAAAATCCACCATTTGGGGAATCTATAGGGAATATTTTTTATATAATATTTGTTGGGATCCCTTGAGCAAATCCAAGTTATTGCATGTCTCCATGGACAAGGAGCTTGTGTCTTAGTGCTCTTCTAGCTTTTTTCTTTCTCTGTCTTCCTTAGTTTATGTCTTCTCATGTGGCTGCAGCCACATCTAAATAATGTTTGATCTGACAGGTGAAGCTTTGGAATGCCCAATCACGCAACTCGCGCCTTGTACTGCAATTTGTGTGGCTGAAGGGTGAGGTGTTTGCACTGTCCATCCTTCCTGGCCCAGGTGGCAAGTGAAAAGAGTGCACCTGTACCTGTTGGAGCGTCTAGCTCCTGGAGTGTCATGGGAATTTACTTAGGCAGATCCACAACAGCTGTGACAAGCTGTGCCAAGCTGCCCCTTGAGTTTTTAGCCACCAGAAGTGTCCAGTTCCCTGCCGCAGGTGTTGTGTACACCATCGGACGCCTTCTTCGCGTCGTTTTTCAGGAACGTGCTTCGTACTGGAACACTGTTGGATCTGTACTAGCACTGACTTTAGTAGTCAAGCTTGGAGCATCTTGGAGCTACGCATTTCACGGTGGGCAAAATCTGATACACACAGATGCCTCCATTTTTTGAGATACTTGGCTCCTTACTTTCTGTATCTTTCTGTGAAGGTTTCGAGGCTAGAGCATTTTGAAGAGAAGATCATCCTTACATTGCTCATTTTCCAGCAGATATTCCTGCAGATCTTCATTCCATCTGATTCAAGCTTCCAAATTTTGCAGATATTTCATATTGCTGGAGGATTCCATATGTATTCCAACCCTGGAGGATTCCTCGAAGCGAGTGATCTACGAGGAAATTCCAGATACGTCACTGCTGGAGGACGTGGACGCATCGTTAGTGTGGATGTGTAGAAAAGAGACCTGAGATCTGAGTATTGTGAAAGATTCGCAGTTGAGTTGGCCTGACATGTAAGCAATGTAAGCAGAATGCTTTGAAATTTGAAGGCATAGTGGCATCGCAGCATAGCACCTTAAAATGTCGAGGATTTGTGCAATGGAATCTACATCGCGCGTATCCAACATCTTCTCCGAACAGAATACAAACTGTACTACCAGGCGAGGCAGTCCGTTGAGACTGTAGACATTGCTGGTATGTTTTGCCAAAACAGCAAGCCAGCCTGCACCAAGCCAAACCATCCAACGGCTCATCCTCCAAATTTTTGCGCTAGTTACATAGCAATTAGAACCGGATACGAAGCATGTTCAGACACAGCCACATTCATCATTCACGAGTCAAACCCCCCATTTTTGATGGACACACCGTGTCAAACCTCGATTTTTCACCATGTTTGACGCTCAAGTTAGCCCGCCTTGCACAGCGCGTGCTGAGTTGATGTCCATCCTGCGGAGCCCTGAACTGCTGCTGAACGTCACCGGCAACTTTTGTGACCAGAACTTTGATGACGAGGCACGCGTTCTGCAAGGAGAGTGAGATGCTGTCAGACGGCTGATGTGTTTTCCAAACGGGCTGTTTGGCCAGTTTGGCCAGTAATGGTGACGTGCTTTAAATGAGTCTGGCTCAGATGTACCTCAAAAACTGCATGGTTGAATAGTTTAATAATACAAGAACGGCCGATACCCAAATGCTGACTGGTCAAGCCCAGTCGAGAGGAGCGTTCTGAAGGGCCCGCATGCATCAGGTGAACATTTCAGCAGCCATGGATGATTACATTCCACGGTTTCAAGGAGGTGTGGCATGTGTAGAGTCAGTGTATCAGTGGCAAGATGACGGAGAAGCAGATGCAGATCTTTGAGCAGAATTGTTTCAGAACTGCGGCCACTCTTTGTCCTGCGGGGTCTAGCACTCCAAATTTCCCTACCAGTACAACTTGTAGTTTTGATATTGGAAGAGATCCTCTCACCGCTACAGGCGCCAAAACGCAGTAAGAGCAATGGCTGACCACCGTAGGAGAGGCTGGAGCTCAGAGCAGCAGAGTAGAAACACTTTGTGAAGGGATGTGGCATCAATCCATGGGGATTTTGTTTAATTTCCCAGGAAGATTTCCATGATAGGATGACCATTAATATGTCATATATGACCATCACTGGACCATCACTGGACCATCACTGGACCATCACTGGACCATCACCATCTACCAGAATCTACCCGAATCTACCCATGACCATCTCGTCGGAGCATGGCACGAAATGGCAACGGTTGCTTCGTCGTTTTAGGTGGAGCAAGAGTCAGAAGAGACCTACGTCGTGCCCGAAGCCTCTGAGCCTCCCGAAGACTTGAGGCCATTTCATCATTGATCATCAATCAATAATTCTTAATCATCATTAGTCATCATCAGTCAATATGAATCATTATTAATCAAATCACCATTGATCATCATGGATCATCTGGATCTAGGCGTCCCGTTTCATCACAGCCCACTATGCCCAGTGCCACAGGGTGCTGGATGAAATGCCAGAGGATCTGGGAGAGACGTCAGGGCCCTGATTCCATCTGTTGATCATCGCCGTCCCGAAAAATCGCCTTGTTGGGGGGTATACCCTCTATAATGACTATCATAGCTATGGAAAATGGCCATTTAGAGTGGATTTACCCAGCTAAAAAATGATGATTTTCCATGTTTTTTTGTATGTTTACCAGGCCGGGTACTCCATTTTCAGACGCATAAAAATGGAATCTCGGTTTTGTCACAGAGTTGAAGGCGCCGATGGATGTCACATTTGTCCCAACGACCAGCTTCTGCATGTCATGAAAAAGTAAACAAGGCTGTAAAGAAGCACCTAGCATCTTTGTGTGCGCAGCTTCAAAGCCGTACTTTGGGGGAAGTGGAAAGATCCGGACAATCCGAATGTCATCCTCGTTTCTTTGAAGTCACGACATCGTAGCAACAGAGAAGCGCGCTGGCCAGTTGTTTGGGAAAAGTGAAGAGTGGCCATCTGTAGATAGATTGATGTGTGCATACAAGTGCGATATTGTGTTCTTATATAAATATATATATATATTTACATACACATCTATATATACACACATGTATATGTATATGTATATGTATATGTATATGTATATGTATATGTATATGTATATGTATATGTATATGTATATGTAATTATATGTATATGTATATGTATATGTATATGTGTATATGTATATATGTATATATGTATATTTATATACATATGCACATTTGTGTACATGTAATTTACATGGAAAGTATGCATCCAGTCAACCATACTGTTGAGTGCTCTTGCTGCGGCAAGGTTTGTCGGTGTTGCAGACCCTCCTCAGCGGATTGAAGGCAGCGGACCGGACCTATCATGCACCTTCCGGCAGCATGCTCTGTATAGGTCAAATACCAACATTTGCTAAACAAAAAAAGCTGGTTGGCCATCGGCAAGCTGAACTGGGGAATTTGTGCTGAACTTGGCTTGACTTGAAGCCGATATCCTCCATCTAGATCCTCTAGGGCAATGCTGAAGCATCTCGTTAGATATATATATACACACAGAAGGTCCTGCAGTTATTGGGGTTGTGTTTCTTATTGTCTCAGTTGTGAATTGGGGAGTGGCAAGTTTCACGGATGACAGATCTGAACCGCTGGAGGTATGGGTCACAATTTGATCTCCCAGGACCCACCAATTCTTTTCATTATTGATACCCTCTGGTAAACTAATATAACTATTGAAAATGGCCATAGAAATAGTTGATTTACCCAGCTATTAGCTATGGTGATTTTCCAGTTCGTTATGTTAATTTACCAGAGGGTATATCTCATTTTGGAGTACCAAAGCTTGAACTGGATGTTGGTAGGGTACTAAGCACAGTATACCCTCAATATCCCAAGTCATGGCTAAAAAAATCAGATCCAAAACTTGTCTCGCAGATTCGGCGCAGTCTCCAACATCGCCTTTTCGTGAACTGAGACGACGCAATCAGGCATGATGGATATGATGGCACTCCCCACATCCAGCGCTTCCTTAAAATTTTGCACTTTGAAATTGCCATTTCTTGGAGGTATCTTGAGGTATCCTGAGGTATCCGTGATGTATCCCCAATTTTGAGAAATCTAAAAGGCATCCATTGCACTTTTCCTTGCAGGGATACTCTCGAGGGCACAGTCACACGGAAATGTGACACTTCTGAGAGCTTCCTGCGAGACTTTCTCGGCTCATTTTGGCATATCGTGACTCTCTGCTTTCAGACGGAAAATGCTCTTGGAAACCATGCGCGCACGACAGCTGGCAAAACTTCTCATCAGAAGGTGTTTCCTAAGCGGTCCTGACTTCATATTCTAAATCTTTCATTCGATACCATTGAGGTTGTTTTATATGTTTTATTCAGCGTGGCGTGTGCATATCAGCAGGTGCAAAAGACATCGCAGTGCATCGATTTGTACAGGGAATTTGCAGCACAGTGTCAGCTCCAAGTGCGGTACATTTGTAGTGCTCTCGGTTGTTCTTTGCTTTCGACAAAGGTCGGAAAAGTCTCCAAAGACTCCGAAATTCACTGCCCCATTTTTTGCGCAACTCTGGCTTTATGGCCGTGCTTTGCGCGAAGCTTTTTTGCTTTTTTGTTCTGCTGCACCCTGTACGGTTTCGCCAGCGAACAGAAAACGTTTTGAGGGACGATTCATGGTCCAACTGAACTGAACAGTGTTCAATGGCGGGTCGGTTGACCAATTTGACCAATAGGGAAGATCGCAAGCGTTTTTAGGGGAATCACCATGAATCACCATGAATCACCATGAATCACCATGAATCACCATGAATCACCATGAATCACCATGAATCACCAACAAAACCAGTCCTGAGAAAAAACGCCTCCAGCCTTTGGGCTCGAACAGCCGTCTCCGAGCTGTGCCTCTGGCCAATTTCTCAGATATGGAGCTGTTGGACATGTTGGATGCAGAAAACATGGAAAGAAAGCCAATTGGCACCGTGACCTGCCATCTGCATACCGTTTTTTTCCATCAAATCTAAGATGATTCATTTTGAAGGGACTGGCTCCAAAAGAGTTGCTGAGTGTGATGGGACCTGATGGGATGTCAGGAACAGAGATGGCACCTGCCAACGAGCAGGACTGAGCCGACTGAATTCCCAAAGCAGGGATGCAGATGCAGCTGTGTCAGGAGATGCAGAAAGAGCTGGAGAAATTCAAGGTGACTTGAGACCAAAACAATGACAGTGAGTGAATTTTGACGCATTGCCAAGATTGCCAAGTGGACTTGAACAATTTCTCATCAAACCACAATAATACCTTTCACCTCTGGAAAAATCCCTTCCCCCTAATAAAAAATATCCCCAAGAAAGGACTCTAAGATCGGGCTTACTGGGTATTCTTCACATTAATTGACATGTTTAGATATTTTTAAGGGATCCGGGGGCATGGAGCATTTGTCCTATGAGGCGATGCAGGAAACCCTGCAGAAAGCCTACGAAGCGCGTATGGGTTTGATCGCCCAGCAGCAGGAGACCGAGCTGGTGAAAGAAGAGATCGACTCCATTGAGGAGCTGGCGATTGGCGCCTTGAAAATTCTGAGGGGAAGAGTAGACGATACGAACAAGAAAAAATGGTAGAAAAACACGGGAGACTCATATGGGGATGGGTCGAGGCCCTGGTACCTAGTGAAACCCAAAATAGCTGGTAAATGGATGTTCATCCCACTAAAAATGTATCTATAGGTATTGACCCATACCCATATGAAACATTACGAAACATAGATGACATTTGTTGACATGATATCCACATCCACACATTGATCATTTTGGAGGGCCTTGATCGCCTTGATCACTACTGATAGCGATGGTTTCACAGCAGCCACCGTGCAGGACGATGCAGTTGTGTACAAATTGGTCGGCCCAGCAACTTGTTCGGACCAATTCACCAAGAAACTGGTGCTTTTCATGCGAAGATCTGTGAACATCATCTATAAAATTCTATAAATATATGGAGGTTTCCTAAGTCATAGGCTTATTAGGGTATGTTCCATGAAATAAACCAACCATTTGGGGATCCCCCATGGAAACCCCACATATAGGATACCTGAGGTCATGGTCAAGCAGAACATCGATGACGCAAAGGCCTACCGTGACCCGGTGTTTGACGTAGAGCACTGCGAACCAAGAGTTGATGTAGGCTACGACTATACACAACTCACATTAGAATAACGATATACATATATTATCATATATTAATATATATGAATCTGTATTCATATATATTATATATCAATATATTAATATATTAATATGAATATATATATACATGGGTATAGTCCAATCAAGAGTTCAATGTTTCACAGCATTGTCATTGTTGTCATCGATTTCACAGTCGTCATCGTTGCCGCCGTGGCACCAGGGAAACGTGTCAAAGCGCTTGGACTACATCTCTGGCGAACTGGAAAGGCCTGGCTTTCACAGTGCGACCACTGGGACCACTGCACGGGATGTGGTTTCACCATAGAGCCATTCTGATCCATAAAAAAGGTTGTGTTTTTTTACTGGATGGATACCCATACACTTCGATGTTTGTGATTTTTTAGGATTATGGGTCTACCATTTCCACTAAAAGTGAAAGCACGGGATCCAACATCTATTGATCCCCGCCGGCGGTAGCATCTTCAAGCCGTTGCCGGTTGCCGGTTGCCGGTTATTGCCGGTTAGGTCAAATAAGATCATTGCGGAAAAAGAGACCGAACTTGGAGACAAGCAGAAGCACTTGATCAAGTCAGTGCCTAAGATTTTTTGGGCACGTCTGGCCCTCTGGGAATTTTGTTATAGTAAGGTGAAGCCAGGGACCATACCTAGTTCGATGATTTACTGTTCTTGAAAACTGGTGACTTTTTGATCGCAAAAAGTTAACTTACCAGAGGGTACGACTGGAAAAAATTGTGCCTGCTCGTCCTTCACAGCGCCTGAGGATGCAGCAAGAATTGCAGAGCAGTTGAAGAGAGTGAAGAGTTAGCCACATTTCTGCTCCCTTGGCATCTCACGGCAAAAGCCTCGTGACTCGACATTGCCCCGTGGGAGCTTGAGACATGGCCAACCGGAATAGGTGGTATGTCGGATGTCGGATGTGGCTCAGTGCAGATGGCATTTCGTCAAAAGAGATGTCGCCATTGTCCCATTTGGATTCTAACTTGCGGGGATGTCTTGCAAAAACGATGAGTAGGGTTGCGTGGCCATTTCACCATTCACCAACGAGGAAGAATGAGGGGCGGTGCAGTTCTGGACATGCAAAGTCTTGTAGGTGGTTGAGTAGTGGTCCTTAGATCATCAGTGTGTGGTCCTTAGATCATCAGAATCATCCGTCTTGATGTTCCCATGATGTTCCCATGATGTTCCCATGATGTTCCCATGATGTTCCCTTTGTCATGCTCAAGACCCGTATGACGTCAATGTATCAACAAGAAGACACAATACTGAAGCTCCTTTAATGGTTGTGCAGGAAACATAATGATTGATTTACGTCTCAAGTTTGATTGACCGGGTGCAACCAAATGAGACAGTGAACATGTATATAATTCTAATTTGTCGATGGCGCAGAGTTCTTCTTGATTGTCATGTGGCCATGGGTAAGCCTGGAAAAGCAGACACCTTCCAAGTGTACTATCAATGTAGATTGGAAGAGCTCAAGGCAGAGGAACCAAGGGCGACAACCCCACAGGAGTGTTTCCGACGGCGAAATCATCCTGGTGCCTTGCAGCCGCTTTCCCGACCCAGCTCTTCCGAGGGCACCCTGCGGGGCGTTGTAAGAAGCGGCACTTCAGGGTCTCAGCTTGGACTTTTTCGAAAAACGCAATCACAACTGGACGTTGGAGGTGGAATGTCCAGACAGCAGATCGCATCCAACGAATCTCTGAAGCTCGCTTGGACAAAGACTCCATCCAGGTGCTCCATGGTGCCAGCTACTCCAACAAGATCCGGACGCGGACGGGAGCATTGCATGCGACCTCCTGATCCTCGCCGAAGTTCCCTGGAAAAGCCTTCGACCGACAATGAAGCGGCGAACCTGGTTCCAGACGAGGCTCCCACCGAAGAGCAGGAACGAGCCCTGGCTTTGTTACAGAGGAGCAATTTCTTCAAGAGCCTTGAACCCGCAGTCCTCTCAGAGCTCCCTCGCTTAGCGACCTTCATTGAGGCACCCAAAGGGGCTGTGGTGTTCCGGCAAGGAGACCCGGCGTCAAATTGTTGGTTAATTGCCAAAGGTGAGGTGGGTTTCTACACATCCCATGGCCAAGGCCAGAGTCCACGTTTGCCACTTACACCTGGCTGCGAGAGTGTGATGGTGCCATTGCCATGGGAGGAGAAAGCCCGGGTGAGAACGCTGGATGGTACCAGTACGTTTTCCTTGCAGAGCAATCTTGGCAAATGCGTGAACAAGGCTCGCAGTGGCTCCGTTTTTGGAGAGTTGGCACTGATGGATGAATCTCTCAGGAAGGCCTCCGCCAAGTGCCACACCAACTGCGAGTTCATGACTCTGCCAGCAGCTGCCTTCAAGATTGCGAAGGAACGACTCTTGCAGTTCCGAGCTGCTAAGAAGAGATTTCTGGACAAGCACGTCCCAGCTATGAAGGATTGCCCCGAGGGGGGACCCAATGCTCCTCCTCATCCCAGCTTCTTCTTCAACAAACTACGAGTGCATCAGGAATACTTCTTCCTAAAACAAGGTGAAAGGGATTCTCGGGCCCTCTATGTGATCTACAAAGGCAATGTGGAGTTGAGACGAGAGAAGGAAAACGGTTCTCAGGTCTGCCAGAAGCTGCTTCCAGGAAGCATGTTTGGCTCTTGGATTCAGCATGCAGTGGAACCACTCTCTGCTGTTGCTGCAACTCCGTGTGAGGTGTGGTATTTGAAGGCCTCTGACATGAGGGAACTGCCAGAACATCTGTTAAGCACAATTATGCACCATCTATCTATTGAGTATTCCAAATTGCTGAAGGCCGTCTACGTTGAGAGACCTTTTGGTTGGGACAAGCCTGTGCAGCCTGTGCACGTGGCGCAGTTTTCTGATGTCAACGAAGAGGATCCTGATGAATGGGCGAAGCAGGTCTTGAAAGAGGTTCATGACCAAGAGATGCGCACACAATTTTTTGCCGCTCGCATGGGTCACGATCTCATCAATAGGCAATGGCGATAATTGCCGAACGTTCCGAACGGGCAATTTCTGAATGCTAGAATCATCATGAATCATCTAGATCTGGGATATTTAAGATATCTCCGGACAATCCAACGGAGCATCGGGTCAAAAAAGATCTGTGTGCAGACGCCAACCTACAAAGTTTTCAGCAGCAGGATCTGAATCTTTGGTCTTTGCGCCTTGGAGAATTGGCTCGCTTGCAATCTGCTTGACGTGGAGACTGGTGAGCAATCATGGTTCAAGCTGTCATGCTTTGGGATCAATTGAAGCAAGAATTCATTTTGTGAGAAAGATTCTGAATCGACACGGGAATATTTCACACAATAGTACCACGGAATCAGCATTTTGACGTAAACATTTGAGATCATTTGAGTATGTAAGTGCGTTCAGATGTACTTCAATATGGGGATGGGTCAAAACCTTGTACCCCTTCTGTTCACATCAAAATAGCTGGGATTTATGGATGTTCATCCCACTAAAAATGGTATGTATAGGTATTGATCCATAGCCATATCTTGCAACGTCTCCATTTTTTCAGGCATTTCCACCTGTCATCCCGGCCAGGGCCGCTTTTTCGCCATGTCTGGCCGAAAGGCAGCGCTTGAACGCCTGCGAGCTGCTCGTGGGATGCTCAGCGATTTTAAGCGCATCATAAGTTGAGGGTCTCAATGAATCTACCAGTTAACCAGATGAAATCACGGTAGGCAAACAGTTGTTCTTTGGAAAAATATGGCACTGTGCGTTTCAAAATTTTCTGGAGTGACCTTGAAGGTGAGGGGAATGTCTCCTGTGCAGAGCAATATGTGGTTCCGGACTGTCCTGGCTCTTGACTTGGAAAGCCTATTTGGGTGTGTTTGAACATGGGATCCCAAAAGGGCCCAGCCATTGAAGGATATTAATGGGGATGATGATGATCCGTTGGATTTTTGCGGAGTCTGATGTTATTTTTGTCGTGCTTTGCCCAAAAAATGTGTTTTCCTGGATTTCAACTCTGTCTCTGCAGGAGGCAAAAAGGATTATTCAACAGGCAAGCCTGGCTTTCAAAGCGGGATGGCTTCGTTTTGGACGAAACCCTTCTGCCACAAACTTCTGGAAGTATCTGGAAGTCTGGGCTTGGTGCTTTTCAGTGGAACGATGGTTTGATGAGACAAGATATGTGTCATTATGTGTGAGAGCTGATGAGAAATGTTGGCACTTGATTCATTTCACTTTAGACGTGAAAGATGTGAAAGGCTTGCCCAATTCCATGGGGCCATTCCTGTGACGCCAACCCGAGACTCTTACCTCTCCCTTTTATGCTTCATGTCCGGATGACTGCTGATCGTGTCAGCACCAACATTGATATGAGCTTGATTTCCTATGATTCCTGCCTCAATTCTTCAATTGAGTGCAGACATTGGACTTTGCATCTGGATAGAAGTTCTTAGACATATGGAGGTTTCCAAAAATGGAGATACAGTACCCCCAAATCATCATTTTTACCGGATTGTCCATAGTAAACCATCCAGCTTTGGTGGAACACCGCAGGTGAGTGACGAGGAGTTCCGCAGCATAGTGGCTGAAAGGCGATCCGACTGGGCCCGGACCCCCGGACCTCCAGCGGAAACGACGTGGGCCACGTGGGCCGTGGAAAACGTGTTTTCGAAACGCCATCAGGTTGTTGGGAAGGATTCTGGCTACTCTGATGGTTCCTTGGCCTGGAAAAGCTGGGAGTAAAGGATGGCTGAAGAGCATTGTGAGTCACAGCAAATTTGAGCCATGCTTCAATACCGCCTCAGGTGGCCAAGAACTCTGGCAGGGAAAAGAGGTTGTTCGTCAGCGTGTCCTTGAGGATGAGAGAGACAGGAGCCCATGCTAGCCATGGCAGCAAGCTTGTAGCCTTATGTAGCCATGGTAGCAAGGTGGCCTGGCTTTTTAGGTGTCAAGCTGGCAGGAAACTATTGGCACAGATGGATCCAGAAAGGAAGACGAAGGCAGTCAAGGACCTGCGATGATCGCTTTCTGAGAGATTTGAAAGATCCCAATCGAAGCTTTGAGGACCAGACTGAGACTGCGCCATCCGGCCGAGGAGTAGGAAACTCAGGTTCTCTCAGCTTCTATTCTATTCTGTGTGGGCAAAAAACCGTTGGATAAATCAATTTGAATGTGCACATGCTGAAGCCTGAAAAGCTTCGATTGTGTACTGATCAACGTAGTCAACTCATTCATAAGTCTCTCCCTTTGTCACTTCCAGCACTGGAGGCGTTTCTCGGGGCACTGCAGAAGGGTGCAGTCACCTCACTCAGTTGTTTCATATTGTTGCCATGTTTCTGATTCAGCATGATAAGTAATGATCAGTTTACGCTTGCAGCTCTTTCCAGGTCCTTTCTTCCTCTGGGGTGCCAAACAGCTCTACCAAGAAGGCTAGGGCCTTCAATCCTCTTTGCTTCATGGTCGTTTGAAACGTTGCGAAGCCAGGATCAAAATAAGCTGCTTGACGACATGTCCCAAACTCAGCACCTTTAAATGGCAACCGGAGACATTTACAAGGCACCTGGAGCACTGGAGCCCTTTTGTCAACCAAGGTCAGCGCATCCATTGCATACATTTCATCCATTGCCTCCATTACATTCATTTTCGTTTCTTTGTGTCCTGTTGTTTTTACAGCAGTGATACCGAACTGTCTTTTTCTTGGTCTCTCTGCCTCCGCACTGTCTTCTGTTTATATCCCACCTTCCTGACCAAGATCACCGCAACGCAACATGTTTCGCCGTTTCGCATTTCTTGATTCAGAGGCTTGAACAAATGTGCGGCGAACTGGAGGCATTGCCGAAACGGACAGGAAAGTACCAGGAAACCACTTAGCGCAGCGCGGCAAATGGCATTGATCCTCCGTTAAAAACCCAAAAAATTAGCTGTTGGGGCAGCCAGGCAGAACCAAAAAGCAGAGCTCCGGAGGTGTTGTGATCTTAGATCAAACTGCAAGCAGCATGCGGATTTGAACCCGCTCCCTGCATGATTTCCTCTGTCGGGACTTGAAGCTGCTCCATGAATGAACCCCCAAGGTCGATGGAGGTGGCAAGTGAGACCATCGCTCCGCCACCTTCCATGCAGGAGTGAGTTCAGTTGGCGCCGGTAGGAAGCCTTTGGATAAGTTGATGTATCACCAATATATCCTCCAATAATGGGAACGACTCTTTAAGAGGCTGCTTGATGAATCTGAGAGCAGGATCTGACGATCCCAGACGTGAAAGCGAGCCAAGATGAGAGCATGGAGCCGAAAGAGCCCATCGCTGCACCTGAGCCCAAAGAGATCAAAGAGCCGGAGCTGAAGAAGCCGAAGCTCGAGGTTCGAGATTCCCATGTCCAGTCGAGCACTCGCTCAGCATGGAGAAATATGGAGAATAACAAACCTGTGGTGTCATTGTTCTTGCGAGGCATGTGAAGTTCATGCAAGTTCTCCTGCAGAAGAACTGCAACCTGCCGCGGTCACATGGATTCAAGATGTAATTGCTGCAATTGTCTGGTTGTTTCGCTTTGCGGAGGTGTAGTTTGCTAAGCCTCAGTGATAGAGAAATTGACATGTTTACATATGCTTGCAATCTACAAAAATCGAATCTCACATGTTCGTTAGACCTAGGTCCCGGAAGCGCCAATTGAAGCCCTTCCTGATCTTTTGCCAAACTTACCAAGTGAAGACTTGATCGCAAATGGTGCCCAGCAGGTTTCCCTGGACGAGCACGGAGGTTTGTGGTTCTTCTTTATCGATGCCTTTGAAGACGACCGCTCTTCTCCTCCTCGCGTTTATCTCTTTGGGAAAGTCCAGACAGTTACAGGAGGCTTTTGCAGTTGCTGCTTGGTGGTTGAGAATTTGGAACGCTGCATTCATTTGCTTCTAAAGGTAGATCCAGAAGCTGCCACTGAAGAGGTGGAAAAGGCTGCAGCTGCGGCAGAGCAGGAATTTGACTCTATATGTCAGAGGCAATGTCCAAATATCAGGAAGCTTAGGAGCAAGTTGAAATGGCGCAATTATGCCTTTGAGAAATCCTTACCCCACGGTCTGGGACACTTGCCCTTCCTGAAAATCATCTGCGATGCTTCTGGTGGACTTCCTCGTGAGATCTACGGGCAGACCTTCAGCCATGCTTTTGGTGTCCAGACCTCTTTGCTGGAAAGAATCTTGCTGACCAAGCAAATCATGGGTCCTGGCTGGCTGCGCTTGAAACCCGGATCCTTCAAGAACGAAGCAGCACGGCTCTCCTACTGCGCGCAGGAGTTTCGAATGACTCCGAAGTCTTTTCATTGGCCTCGTACAGAAGAAGACAAGACAGAGCTGGCAAAGTCTTCCCCAGCTGTCAGCCCTCCACTGCGCATGATGAGTTTGTCTATGCAGACAGTCCAGCAAAGCTCGCAGGCCCCGCATGAGGTGCTGGCCATTGCGTGTACCCTTCATACCAACGTCAGCGCAGATGCCGGGTCGGAGGACCCAAGAATGGGCACATGGGCAGCAGTTCGTAGGCTTGACATCAATCCACTTCCACGAGATGCTGACAAGGCCAGTGCATGCGCTTTTGCTGGAGGATGTCTAAGAAATTGTCATCGAATCTGATGCAATGATGTCATTCCAGGAAAAAAGCGGTTGGTTAGGTATACCAGCATTTTCCTACTGGTATTTGCCTGATGTATCAATCAACGGCTCAACTCATCATACAGGAGTTTCAACACAGGCGCCACTATCTCCGTCCCAGAAGCCGTTGTTCTTTCTGGTCTTTTGCATCTCAGAAACTTCAATCATGATGGCAACACCAAGAGCTTCACAAGTCATAACCAATGGACAACTGTTTTGTTGCTTTATCTATTTGTGAAGGGGACTCCAACCACAGTTGAAAGTCCTGTCAAAGGCATTGGCGCAAGCTGGCATGCAGACCTGCAACAACGAGCTCCATTTGCTCACGTCGTTTCTTGCCAAGGCGAGGACCTGACGGAAAGTTTCCTCCCTGTTTCAAGCGATGCGTCGATGTATCACATGTATCACATGCAGGTCCAAGAATTTGACCCGGACGTCGTTGCAGGCCAGACCGGGAGATTTTTACCCTCTGGTAATTTAACATAGCTATTGAAAATGACCATTTATAGTGGATTTTCCCATTAAAAATGGTGATTTTCCATAGTTGTGTTAGTTTACCAGAGGGTAGACTGAGTCATACACCAGCACTTTCTGATTCGCACCAGTGCAGTATCTCAGTATGAGCTTCACAAATTCACCCCCCTTCCCAAGCATTGCCGATGTTGGGAGGCCACAACGCTTATGCCTGCGACCTTGACATCTTGGCGGCTCGCTTTCAGCAGCCAGCTTCTCAAAGCGATGCCAGTAGCTTCATTGTTCCAACTTGATTGCTTAGCTATTGATCTGCCTTGGTTTTTACGTTGTATAATGTTATATATCCTTATATACTCTGATAAACATCGAGGAAAATCTATCTGTGACTGGTGTGCATTGATACTTCCCTTCCATACTCTTTCCTTTTGTCCAGAGGGGTTTGGGTACTGCAAAGGCTCAAGATGGTCACTCAGTGGCAGAAGTTTGGGCGTTTGCGTCGTCCGAAGGAGAGCCGTGGATTTCATGCATATCACAGAACGCAATGTAACGGAAGAGCCAGTTTTAGGGTAGTAGATGATATATTGACACACCAAGATTGATACACAAGATCTGCAACATTCTTGTGCCTGATACAGAGATCACTTTTTCGGCACCAACTCTTAAAGATGACCTCTTGAAACCAAAAGAAACCTCTACTGTACCAAGCAGCATAAAAAGTCAGACATCTTGGGCCAGTTTTGCACTTGCAGCTTTTGAGAGTTGATGTCAAGTTCACGCACTTGCAGCTTTTATATGTATGTAATCTGTGTATATATATATATATCATATTATATAATGATAATATATATATATATATATTATATCACATGTATAATATGTAATATGTATACTATTTATAATATATAATATATAATATATATAATATAATATATATATATAATATATATATATAAAATATATATATATAATATATATAATATATAATATATATAATATATAATATATATAATATATATAATATATATAATATATAATGTATATATATATATATAATATATATAATATATATAATATATAATATATATAATATATATAATATATAATATATATAATATATATAATATATATAATACATATAATATATAATATATATAATATATAATATATATAATATATAATATATATATATAATATAATATATATAATATATAACATATATATAATATATAATATATATAATATGTATAATATATATATAATATGTATAATATATATATAATATGTATAATATGTATAATATGTATAATATGTATAATATATAATATAAAATATATGTAATATATGTAATATATAATATGTATATAATATAATATATATATAAGATATAATATATATATATAAGATATATCAAATATATAAGATATATAAGATATATAAGATATATAATATACATTATATATATCATATATATATAGTATGTATAATATGTTTTATATGTAGAATATGTATAATAGATATATAATATAATATATGTATATATATATGATGTATATAATATACAAGATATATAATATATATAATATGTATAATATGTATAACATGTAGAATATATATAATATGATATAATACAATATAATATAATGTAATGTAATATAATATAATATAATATCATATCATACAATATAATATAACTATAATACAATATAGCATAAGATGATATAACATAATGTAATACAATATATTATGTTATATTAAATTACGTTACATTATATTAAATTATATTATATTGTATCATATCTTATTATATTTTATTTTATTTTACCCGTTCTTTTCCCATGTTCATATCCGGATAGGCACGTCTCAGCACGCATGGCCAGTCCTTGCCTGGGAGCACCAGGACCGAGTGCCGCGATCCGAAGGACGCCAAGGGCAAGGATTTTGGGTCTGCCACTCAGTCACGAAAAACAATGCTGGAGGGATTTCATGGTATTGTAATGTACTTGTATGATCTTGTATGTATTTGTAGTTAGTTGGCTGGAAATATCCCCAATATCGCCGATTAAATGTCATTAAAGTATATTATGTAAAGTCCTCTTGTTGATAGTTTTGGTCATGTTTGGTGGCTGAGGTTGGAAGCAATCTCCTGGCTGGGAGGCTGATTTGTGATGTGCTGCTGCAAGCAAAAGATCTGTTGCCAAAGATGGGCTGCTGGGTTCCCAGAGTGCTCGGAAGCGCACCAATGACTGCGACCATTTTGGAGAGGTGGTACCTGGTACCTGAAAATCGGGGATAGTACATCCCCAAAATGGGCATGTTCATGGGAACATGATGAGAAACTATGGGATGCAATTTGTCAGACAACCCATATTCTCGATGTCCGTGTCTTTTGATATGTCTCTGGTTTCCAGGGTCGAGATTCTGTTTGCACTTTGGCTTGCTTGCAGGTGTCGCACGTGAAATATAAGACCTATATGGCTACATAACATAATCATATAATACACATATATGCATTCCATGATGCGCGTAAACACAATCATTGTAGAAACGAAACGAGACCTGCCTTTGACAATTTGAACAACCGAGGCTACGACCTTCCGAACTTGGCCAAGGAACAGTTGCGGAGAAGTTTGCAAAATGCCAACGCCATAGCTTTGATTGACCGGAGATGTCCAGGATGTGGATACTTTGGTCGAAATTTTCAGTTCAAGCTACAAGATTTGGTCAGCTGATGGGATTTTTACGGAGGTTGAGCCAGAGTCCATCGCCTCTGGCTATAGCTCGGCAAGGAGCTTTGACGCTGCAATGGCCCGTTGTTTCATGATTGGTATGGGGGTTAATAGGGTCAATACCAAACAATCCAAAAGTTGGCTGAACATCCCAATCAACATGAATGGAATATCAATGGAATGTTGCATGGGATGTCCTATATGTGAAGACATGATTCGGCTGGTCAGCTGGCAGGAGTTTGAAGGACTTTGTGGACCTCAAGCTTCGCCATGCACACTGCATTGCACAACTGGTCCAGATGCTTCAGATTTTGCCCGGCACACAGAGACACTTCATGGCTTAGTCTGGAAATGGGAGCCCGAAAATCGTTGTAAAATGATGAGAAAACCTTGGATTTTTTCTTTGTTTCGCTGAGGCCTTTGACTCGACAGCTGACCAATTTGGCAGGCAACCTCTGGAATGCCTCGTTTGGGGCTTAGATTGCATTATTTGATCCAGTTTTTAATGGGGATTCAGCCATCCTACTTAGTCAAGAACGTCTAGTTGAAGGATTGGTTCCCAAGTCTGACTGCTGAAGTTCAAGGTGGGGTGACTGCACCTTGTGCTAGGCTGCAGAACAAACGAGCTGAGCGGAACGAGCTGCTTCTATGCCACGAGTGCGGACCACAGCTCTTGGCGCGTCTTGCCCAACATGAAGCAACAGGGGTCTGTACCTGTTGGTTGCTGATAGTAGAGGGTTATACTACCCAATATATTTGTTAATAATGTAATATATATATATATGTATATGTATATATATGTATATGTACATATATATGTATGTATGTGAAATCACAATCCATGAACAGGAACTGGGAATCCACATGAAGTGGGAATTACCATGCACCAAACCATTTCAACAAATGACGAGTTTGGTCCTACAGTGGCAACCAGGCAGGTGTCAGTTGCCACCATGGATGTCCCAAGCCAGCCCAGGTTCCACAAGAAGAAGTTTGTGCTGCCCCAGCCTCACACAGATGACATAGTCCCCAAAATGCATGAAGAGTGGAACCGGATAGTGTGTCAGGGCTTCATTTGCTGGCAGTACATAACGTGTTCATACCCGAGCACTTGCTTGAGGCCCGACAAAGAGAATACCAAGAAGAAAAAGATGCTCACAGATATGAGTGCGCCAAGTTTGGCTGAGCACTGGGATTCTGAATGGCAGTCACAATGATGCGTCAGGCTGCATGGGATTGGACGAGCCCGATGATGATGCGCAGGTGCACCATGGTTAGGGATCCCATGTGTTTAACGAACTTGATGGCGGTTTAGTTTCTACGAAAAGTACCCCATGTGCCCTCAAACTCCAGAGGTTTATCCTCGTTGTTCCAGTTGTTCCCAGTGAAATTGCCACACATTTTGGCAAACCTTCTTGGACAGGCCCAAATCATGTTCTTGGTTGCACATCCCACAATATCTTGATACCATGGTTGGTTTTATAATGTGTTCTACCTCATTTTCCATGATTTTCCCACTGTAGACCATTTTTCTAATCCATTCCATCCATAATATCCGCACCACTGATGCTGAACGCCCCATGATACTCCCATCTGCAAGGCTGCTGGGGCGCCCCGTCGCAAAGCCGCCGCCTACAGTGGAGGCCTTGTCTTGGCGCCAAAGGCCTGGCGATGATGGATTTGTGGGGGAACAGTTTAAGCCTTCAGCCTTCCAAAATAATCAATAAAATGTGCGTTTAACCATCGAAAACGGGATACAATTATATACAGTAGGTATGCAATCAATGTAACTGTGAGGTGGTTGCAGCTTTTGCCTTTAATCATGCCTCGGATGATGATGCCAAGTGAGAAATGGTATGCTCTCCTTGCCGCAGTCGGGCTCGGCTACACACAAAAGCACAAGCGCAACCGGCGCAACCACTGTTCAAAAGGTGTCCCAAATAGCTTCTGCCGGAAAAAATGACGTTGAAACTTCAAGAAGTGTGCAGAGCACATGAAAATTATGAAAGACTATGAAAGACTCAAACTCTTTGCTGCTCAAGTGCCTCAAGTGCAGCAATGCTGTGGGGAAATGTGGATGGGAAAGATGTGCATTTGGTCACCTTGAAGACCGAAAAGCTGGAGGCCATCGACATGTGGATGTCTTGGGGCTGAACAGCTCATGCAAAGCTGTCCAGAGGCAGATATTTGCAGTCTCGGAGCTGCTTTGGTGGCGGTCCGCGTTAAGGCTGGCTTTTACAGCAAGCTTCAAGAGCCAGGAGTATTCCCTCGGGTCAAAGTTCAAAGTTCGGAGAGTTTCAAGCCTTCTTTCCACCCAATGTCCACCCAATGTGGCCCAATTTGGGACCAATTCAGCTTGAGACTTTGAGGATTTCAGCGCTTGTGCAGGTTCGCGGTGACTGGATCGATGTGGTGCTGGGCACCAAGCTTAGACATCTCTTTGTTGTTTCGGGGCACCGAAAGCTGCATTGCCCTCAGTTGAAGTTGATTTTCTTGTGCTGTTTTAGGAAAGCTTCACAGAGTAATTTGGAGATTCAACTTGATTCAACTCCACGGATCTCCGCAGTGTAATCTTCTTTTTCTGGTACGTAGAATACCCTCTGGTAAACTAACGTAATTATGGAAAATCACCATTTTTAATGGGAAAACTCACTATAAATGGCCATTTTCAATAGTTATGTTAGTTTACCAGAGGGTATCGCAGAATTCATTGGATAGTTCCGTTTTTGGGGAACGCCACTTATTGAGAGGCAAAGCTCACACTTTTGCCAAGGATACGAGTCTCTGGAGAGAGACTTGCCCTGCAATAAGATCAGTCGATCGAACTTGGCACCTTTCGAACTGAAGTGGTTATTAGAAATTACTAATATAGAAATATATAATAACAATATATTGTATTAGACATTTTGATACATAAGTATGATATTATGAGACATAAGGGGTTCAATCTCCAGAACCCTCCGACGCTTGAAGCTATTTGATTCGGACCTTTGACGACTGCGCTGCCCAGGATACACCAATGGCGGAAAGCCAAATTTTGGCACAGTTGTTGGAAGATGTCCAGGGCTGAGCTAAGCTGCTTGATGGCGATGTTACCATGGCAGCCAACTGTTTGAACCATGGCAGGATGTCGTGGCCTGAGTCTTTGTTGGTCTCCGGCAGTTCAATGGGCGTTTGCTGGTGAAAAATTATGGTTGGTGCGTTTTGTCATAGAGTTCTCTTGTTTTCTGTATTTTCGGATTAGGGATGTCTTTGCGACACTGTGTACTTACTAGCACTGCTTTCCCTAGCTTTCCCTGACTGTTTGCAAATGTCCCTTTCCTACTGTAAAGACAAGCAGGCTGACTGCATTGATTTTTCGGTTTTGTTGTGCTATTTGGATAACTCCTCCCCCCGTCCCAAACCTGCTACCATGCCTGAAAGAGCGCGCAAGATAAAACAAGCAGGAATATGTTGGCAAAAGCGAAACGACATTTGGATGGATATAAGTATTATAAGTGACTTGGAAAGGGGTGGGTGAGATAAACAACAGGGAAGAATTGCATCCAATCGAGCTTCAAACGAGATTCTCAGAAAGATAACGACATGTTGGACAACTGGGTAAGACATTTGATTTCAATGCAGCTCGTCGAGAAGTGCTGGATAAGTTGACCAAGGCGCTAATCGGATCGCGAACGCAAGCTTTGAGCTTGACGGAGAAGAGCACAAGCTTGACATCAACAATGGGAATCATCATTTGCACGGAGGTCGGGATGTTTGGTCCCATTGAGATGGTAGAGAGAGTACAACTGAAAACAGAAAACTGCTGGAGCTCTCACATTTCCAGGCACTAAGGGCTTCTACTCGCAGGTCTTTGACGTTGCTGATGTATCAGACAAGCAGGCTCGCATGGACTGAAGAAACGGTTTCCCATTTTTTGCAAAACAATGTGGGTTGACAGCATACCTGAAAGGTTACCCTGACTCTTTCAGAGCCAGACGGTGCAATGGGATATCCTGGAAAGGTCCCTTTGCTAAATGAAGGGTTTCCTCAGAGGATTTGTTGGTTGCTGTCTATCAATGTGACATTTATATAATAGATTGTTCTATATTCCGGTCAAATGTGGTATGCTACAAGATCATACATTCTGCTTCCAAAATAACAACATGTTCACTTATTTGCTGTGTTGTGTTCAGCAATCTTTTCTGTGAACATGCGACAAATGTGCACAAGTGATGCATCATGTTCGTAGCCATCACATACAGTGGGTTTGTCTGAAAATAGGGTATATTCCCAATTATAGCCATTTAATAGGGATAATGATCATTAACCATTGGGTGTAGGGGTACACTATTTTCAGACAAACCCAGTAGCTTATGTGCAGCTGGGCACTTGCGGTGTCAGCATAGTTTGGCAATCTAAAGTTCAAAATGTCCAACATGCGCGGATGCACATTGATTCTATCGCCACCCCAAAGGTTCTTGGTAGCATAGGGCTCATGTGCATACACAATGACCCCATGACCAGGAAACGCGGCAGACAAGGAGACGGGGGGAGAGAGAGGGGGGGAGAGAGAGGGGGAGAGGGGAGAGAGGGAGGGAGAGAGAGAGAGAGAGAGAGCGAGAGAGAGCGAGCAAGAGAGCGGGAGCGAGCAAGAGAGCGGGAGCGAGAGAGCGACAGAGCGAGAGAGAGGGACAGAAAGAGGGACAGAAAGAGGGACAGAAAGAGGGACAGAGAGAGGGAGAGAGAGAGGGAGAGGAGAGAACGAATAGATGATGCGGCACCAATACATTCTCCGGGTCCATGTGTTTAACGTCCGCACGGCCTGTCGCAAATCTGTTTTCCCTGGTGTGCTAAAAGTTTGCTGAAGAACCTGCACAGTGACAGTATTAAATTGCAAGCAGCTTGTTGGGCAGCTCAGGTCGATGCGAGTGTTACATATGAGCTGAGTTTCGTCCTAAGTGAAGTTTTTGTACTGTGCCGATGAGCTGGAAAAACTGCGGAAAAGACATGGATCTTCCGCGTTGGCTTGTTGGATCTGCTGTGCCAAGATGACGGAGAGCTGCACTTTCGATATGCTGCAGCAAGCGACAAACCAACTCTGGTCAGCATGCCTGTAGCTCAGAGTTTCACTTGGATTCACACCAAGGCTGATTGCTTGAAGACGGGTTCCCCTCAAAGATGGCATAACCCAAAAAATGTTTGAGTATTGAAATGTATTGAACCTCGAGTATGATGTAGATATTCACCCCGCTTCGCGTGGGGTGGCCGCCCACACCGCAGGTTTATTTCGGTCCGTGAGAGGGGCTAAGGGTGGTGTGGAATATGAGGAGCAGTTCCCCCGTGAAGCTTCCCAAGCTAAGAATTTTCACTTCCCCCCCCGTGGGGGCTCCCCAAGCTAGGGAATTTTCACTTTTCCCCCCCGTGGGGGCTTCCCAAGCTAGGGAATTTTCACTTTTTCCCGCCGTGACAGCTTCCCAAGCTATGGAATTTTCACTTTTCCCTCCCTTGGAGGCTCTCCAAGCTGCGGAATTTCAAATAGCTAGACAACGACGCCTAGATAGTCCCCCAAATCCCGTGTTCTTTGAATGTGTTGCCATGTTTTTGCAATGGTTTCCTTCAAAGCACGGTACTTTACACTTTTGTCGCCATAAAACCGGTCGAAAACATCGTGTTCGACAATGCATCCAATTCCCTTATCTCCCCAACCGTTGAAAATACCGCTATTTACAGTGTTTTCTTCAATTTTTCCATGTTCCAATGCCGGTAGCCAACTCCAACATATATATATAAGAAATCCTTCCAAAACATTGTTTTTGACAGTGTTTTTCCAATGTTTCCAGTCAAACAGACGGTAATTTACACGTTTTTTGCCATAAAGGCCCCGTGGGGGCTCCCCAAGCTAGGGAATTTTCACTTTTCCCCCCCGTGGGGGCTTCCCAAGCTAGGGAATTTTCACTTTTCCCCCCCGTGACAGCTTCCCAAGCTAGGGAATTTTCACATTTTCCCGCCGTGACAGCTTCCCAAGCTATGGAATTTTCAATTTTCCCTCCCTTGGAGGCTCTCCAAGCTGCGGAATTTCAAATAGCTAGACAACGACGCCTAGATAGTCCCCCAAATCCCGTGTTCTTTGAATGCGTTTCCATGTTTTTGCAATGGTTTCCTTCAAAGCACGGTACTTTACACTTTTGTCGCCATAAAACCGGTCGAAAACATCGTGTTCGACAATGCATCCAATTCCCTTATCTCCCCAACCGTTGAAAATACCGCTATTTACAGTGTTTTCTTCAATTTTTCCATGTTCCAATGCCGGTAGCCAACTCCAACATATATATAAGAAATCCTTCCAAAACATTGTTTTTGACAGTGTTTTTCCAATGTTTCCAGTCAAACAGACGGTAATTTACACGTTTTTTGCCATAAAGGCAGTAAATCCTTCCAAAACATTGCTTTTGACAGTGTTTTTGTAATGTTTCCAGTCAAGCATACGGTAATTTACACGTTTTTTGCTATAACGTCAGTCCAAAACACTTGTTTTTGCAGTGTTTTCAATGCTCTGGCATCCAAAAACCCTGCAAAATCTTGCTATGTACAATGTTTTTTTCATTTTTGGCCGTTTTTCCATTGCCGGAAAGCTACCAAAATGACCCAAAATTCCATTTCAATACCCTCTTTCGCTCAGACACCCAAAAATCCTCGAAAAATGTCGAAAACACCACCGAATTCTGGTCTCGGTGCGAAACCGTTTTTGGCCCCCCCCCCAGCTAAAGCTGATATAGCGACTGCTATATTAACAAATGTGATTGAGCATTTAGTGTAGCTGTTTGCACCCCAATCAGCACCCCAATTAGTTTTGCACCCCAATTTGCACCCCTATCGGCAATTTTTCATCATAGAAGTCAGTCGTGGCTCCAGTGGCTCCAGGACCAACCATGCATATTGGAACCTCAAAGGCCACCAGGCTGGCGATGTCCCAAATTCCCATTGGTTGATTAATAGAGGGGTTTGAACAACCCCCTTTAACAACAGGTAATGATGATAGATGGTATACCAAACCGGCCCCTCTATTTTTACCAAAAGGACATTATTGCCGGTCACCAGGCTGGCGATGTGCTCGATCATGTCCTGATGGTGAAGGCATCGCGAACAACGGCCACGGATGAGACTCTGGCCATCACAGGTGCGAGCCGCCGTTCTGTGCCATACGTAGCCATACAGCTACGGTATACGCCATACACATAGACATTGATATACAATATACAATATACAATATTACACAATATTATACAATATTCACAGTCATACCTACCCACATGCATGCATGCATGTGCATGTGCATGCATTTGCATGCATGTGCATGTGCATGCATGTGCATGTGCATGCATGTGCATGTGCATGCATTTGCATGCATTTGCATGCATGTGCATCCATCCATCCATCCATCCATCCATCCATCCATCCATCCATCCATCCATCCATCCATCCATCCATCCATCCATCCATCCATCCATCCATCCATCCATCCATCCATCCATCCATCCATCATGTGACAGACAGACAGACAGACGGACAGACAGACAGCCAGCCAGCCAGGCAGGCAGGCAGACAGCCAGGCAGGCAGACAGACATACATACATACATTGATACATACATTGCATGCATACATACATACATACATACATACATACATACATACATACATACATACATACATACATACATACATACATACATACATACATACATACATAGTTACATAATCATACATACACTTTTACAGAACATGCATTTATTGATACATAACATACATTTATTTACACAGAACGTACAAAATAATATATATATATATTATGTTGATGCTGAAATATTATATCGATACGGGAATAAATATAGATACACTGTGTGATACACAGTAGATTTGGATATTATCTGTATTTCATATACTTTACTGTATTTCCTGACCCAAAGCAGCATCATTGGCACACTGGCAGGCACCAAGACAGGACTATATAGTAATCCCCACCTGTCGGGGAAGCAAGGACTAGAACATACTTCACTTTCATGGAGTTCCTTCAAGTGCTGTCATTTGATCCGGATGGCGTTGTACTTCCCCTCCCCGGTTTTAGGGAGGCAATAGCAATCCGCTCACCATTGCAAATCAGCACCCCTCCTCAACCTGCGGGAGAAATTCCATCACTGTGTCCAAGGGATGTCAGTGAAGTCTTCGTAAGAGAAGGAAAATAATAGACGGATATGTATATATATATATATAAACATATAAACGGATGAAAATTGAGAACCAATACTGTACATATACAGTTGTATATGCATATGTTTACATGAGATTCCAAGACTTGCAGGCGAGCTTCCCGAAGTATCGGGCGGCCTTGATTTGACACTTGGAGGCATTGTTTTTGCTGAGACTAACCTGTGCAGATTGGTTAGATGTCCCCTATGTTGGGATAGCACCTGTGGAATGAGGCGAGAGCCTCGGTTGTTGAAGGAGGCAGGCTGTCACAAGTCCAGTCAGGGGTTGGACCAATGAGCTGCGGCCTGTGGAGGCTGTAGATGAAGGAGGTCCAATCGACCGCAACTACTGCTGGAATCCGAGTTGCGGTACCACTGCTCCCTTTATGGACTTTGTTCTCGTACCTGCGTTGTCTCCGTTGTCTCTGAGAATCAAAAAAACACAGTATATATTTGGAGCAACGGGTGAAGTCGACTGATTCAAAGAACCCAATCTATTCCATTTAGGCTTGGATCGACCAAAGGGTGCAGGGGAATTTCTTGCAGCCCGCTTGGTGGGTCCAAACAAGGCCAGAGTGTTTGCAGTGCAACGCTGTTTCAAACCGGAAGGAAACCATACGCAATCACAACGAATCACACACACTTGGTAATCCTTGTCCTTCCTGCGCAATACTTTGTTCATGGAATGGGCTAGCTGATATGCAAAGCAGAATGATTTGTCCACCTCCTCAAGTTGTCCGAAAGGAGATCGCTGAACAAGAGCGCCTTGAGATACTGCAAGACAAACACACATGTCGGAATGTGTCGGAATGTAGATTTACAGCATTTTACACCCATGGAGCACTGATCTTTGTACCTGTCGCTTGAAAATTAGAATCCGCCTGCAGGTTACAATGGAGGTTTGGACAGATCAGCCAGGACTTCAGGCAGAGTGGGAGTCAAACTCACAGTGCCTGTGCCATTCTGTGCCATTCTGTGCCTGGCAGGTGTTCACTGGATCAAACGTCGGAAGCACAGGTGGGGATCCATCAATATCCATCACATGGATCACATGGTCCGACTCAGTCGATGTCATAACATGTCATAACTCATAACTTTTTCCAGGTCCTGGCACGTGGTGGCATGGCAAGGGCTGCGAATGGAAGCAGTTTGGGGCCATTTGCTTGGAACCACAGCTGTGGCCAGATGGAGTCTGCACCTCAAGAGGATTTGCTGAGCCAAACTGGTCCAACAGACTCACGCATTTGGATATGTTTGGTCCTTTTTGGCACTGAATCACCTTATTTTTGTTGAAATTTAGGAGCCGTTCATTGATGTAGATCCATATTTACAACCTCATACAACCTCCAATTTTGGATGGCCATTCATTTTGATCCATGGACAAGCAGGGAGTAAGGATGCCACCAACATCCCTATAGCTCGCAGCCAAGGTGCATCATCCGGAGTTTCAGAGCCCTATCCTTCGACCGGGGGAGACTTACCAGCACCACTCGTGGCATCTCTTTCGAGCCCAACGCTCAGCATGAGATGCTGCAGATGTCCTGGATAGCCATCTGAAGAAACCCGCTGCTGAAAAAGGAGGGATATATTGTTTCACTGTGTATATATATATGTATATAATACAATTCACAAGCATATGATACCATATGGTCCAATTCACAACCGTATGCATAAAATGAATTAGGATCTGATGGTCAAGCGTAAGGACATTGTAATAACAATGATGCTGGCTGTTGCTTGAGATTTCACAAAGTGGCTCATTACACAAAACAAAACGCCTCGCCTGATGCAAGGTGGAAGACTGAACGAATGTTGATTTTGACAGCTAGGGTTGTCTGTGTACAGGGAGATTTGGCGCCATAGTGCTCTTGTACAAAGTTCTTTGCACACTTTGGCGAAGTTGTCATCTCTTGTCGAAGTAGCGGTGCGGCCAAGCGCCACAGCTAGTGACCCTCTGAGAACATCAGATTTGGCATTTCAGCGCCATCAAAGTCGAATTGCCTCGTTTCGGAGTTCAGTGCTTGGATACAGCTGGTGCTATTTGTTTGTCGCAATTTCAGGAGGGTGGGGGCCGGTGGGGGCAGTGTATTTCTGGGCAGGCTGGCCTGTACGACGACTTTGTGATGCTCTTGGATTTCAACAGCTTGTATCCTTCGATCATTCAGGACACCGCCCATCCTCATTGAGGTGCAGTGGAGGGACCCTTCCATTGCTCCACAAGTCTTGTGATAGCGATGATGATGATTGCTAAGACGGGAATCTCAAACCCAGAAAAAAATGTCATTTTCCAGGCCTTGTCATTGCCAGGAGCACAACATTTGCTTCACCACTGTGGACCGGCCTGATGAAATTGCAGTTGCCAAGATAGAAAACGAGGCGCCGAATTCCACATGGAATATATGGAATGGAATGGAGGCCTTGAGGAGGCCTTAAGGATTGATGTTGCTCTGCTTGGTGTTTTGGCAGGGAGGATCCTCGGTTGCCTGTCGAGGCCCAGCTCCTTGCGAAGACGCATGCAGACGGGATGGCCGAAGAAGGCATTCTTCCGCAGGCTGACAATATGAAACTCAACATCTAAAGCATATTCGCCACAGCTTGGAACATGGAGCGGTGGGATTGGTTCAAAAATTATTGACAAATTGGATGGTTTAATAATGCTCAATGATATTCAAAATCTATCAAAATCTATCAAAATCTTAAAATCTCCAAATCTGTGGGTCTCTTCATCTCCCATTTTTGAGCCCCGCACTGTGCAGGTGCTGAGGCGCTTGGTGGACAGTCGACGTCAAGTGAAAGCTGCCATGAAAACTGTCAGGAACCCAGGTTGATTCTCGTGGGGTAACGTCTGGGATGTACCATCCATCGGCGCAAACGAAAGCCATACAGTGACCCCACAGATACCGAGCCCTGGAATCATGGTTAATAAGGGAAATCATCCCCAAATTGGCCTTATTCCAGGTTAGTGAAATATTATGATTTACTCAGATTTTTGGAGGAGCTGAAGGTGCCACTCAAGATGCTTACAGATGAGGGATCCGTAGGGCGATTCATGCAAACCTCGGGGCCACAGTGTTGAATCTCTACAAAGTCACGTGCTGCTAGAATTTCACTATTCAAGGTGTAGCCATGAATCAATGTGTATATATATATATATAGGTATGTATATATATATATGTGTATGTATGTATGTATGTATGTATGTATGTATGTATGTATGTATGTATGTATGTATATATATATATTGGATTGCACTTGCATGGCATTTTAGTAAGAGTAGGGAGAAAGAGTCGGAGTAAGAATTCAAAGCGGTCCAACTCAGGGTTGACTTGCCCACCCTCGAGACATGGGCACAAGTTTGATACAAATCGATACAATTTGTGCGTTCGATAGATGCAGATGAAGAAACCAAGTATGGAGGTAGTATTAGTAGCTACAGTTTGTGAAAATGGCTTGGCTTGGTGGCTTAGCTTGGAGAGCAATACAGTGGAATGTAGCCAAGACGGTAGAAGAACAGTGTGTAGCTGCGGCTTGCAGTTGCATTGTGCAGTCACAGTATGCAGAAGGTAAATGAAGAGATGCGCTGTATGTGGATACAAATGAGCAGCATCAAAACCTCCACGAAGGGGGTCTGTCTTCGGGTTTATGTGGGGAACCCCCTGCGAAAACAAAACCTCCACGCGAAAGCTCTGCGAAAGGAGTGCGCCAAGGTCGAGCCGCGAAAGCAGCGGCGAAAGCGGCTAGATAGTAGAAACGGATTTACATATTCATGTGTAACATCATTGGCAGCCCACTTCCTGAAAGAGTTTGTGTAGGAGAGCATTTTGCTGCAAGGAAAAGAACCCAAAGGTTTCGCAAGTACTCGAGATCCGACAAAAGGTGGGAAGACTGCAACATGTTTCCAACATTGGAAGTCACCACAACCTTGGGTGACGATTTTGACTGTCTTGATTCCTGTGCCATTTTGTGCCATGGATCTATCTCGGTGCTTTGCAGGCTCTGAAACTGACAGCAAACTCAATGTGCGTCCCTGAGGGACAATAGGGAGACTCTTCCTGCATTCAAAGCTTGACACAACTGGCGGTGGTGTCTAAGGTATGGCTGCTTGGGCTTTCAGAACAGTCGATTCTATGCAAGCAGCCAAGTTTTGGACATTACCACATCGGAAACGGGGCTTTGAATTCCCGATTTTCCAAGGCTAAACCCTTAGCTGCGCTCATCACAGCGAAGGGTCGAGAAGCTTTGCAGTCGACCATCAACGCGCCTCGAAGTATTGGTGGATTTTCCAGCCATGTTGACCGGGGGGTAGCCTCAGTTCCACTGGATGATGATGATGTTTCCCACAGAAATTTGGGGCATACAGAATCTTTGGACAAAGCCATTTCATGTGGTTGTACTGAAATTCCACCGGGTTAGTGGTTCTCCCTGACTAGGATGGTGAGCCCCAATTGTCTCAGATTCATAAAACAAGCAGACTCGAAACACGACGTTTTCAGACTCGAAACACGACGTGCTTTGGGGTTCAAAAAAACTAAACTTCTGGAATGGAATCTAGTTTGGATCCTATCAACCATTTCAACCATTTCTGTACTTCTTTCGATCTACGCCTCAGATAGTGTGCGATTAGCTGACACTCCATGACACAGTGATAAGTCTCTCAGAGCTGTATTTTCACAAGAGCTCTTGGCCAAGCATCGCTTTTTTCCAGAATTACACAATATATGCTGTGCATCGGTATGCGGTTTCCCGCTGTTCCTGACCTTGAGTACACAACGCAGTAGCTGGGTCTTCCATTTCTGGGTAAGATATTCCTAGGGACAGTCATGTTTTTTGATTTTCCTTCTTTGTTCCCAACTTCCACCTCGCACTCGATAAGCTGGTTCTGTCACCAAAGGTTGTGAACCAAGAGCTGGCGCTTGATGTGGCCTGAACCTTTGCATTCATGTTCTGTTCTGCGTCCCAGCAAAGGTTGAGTCGGCTGTAAGGTTTATGGTGACACCGATTCTGTTTTCGTGAACACGAAGACGGCGAATTTCCAGCAGGCGACCAGCGGCCTTGTCTCTGTGATGAGATTCTTCAACTCTTCCTTTCAACGGCAGGCGATGCAGATCGGAGAACAAATCAAGCGATCTGTGAACAAGAGGCACGATGGAGCACGGAGCACTGTGCAAAGCAGAGACGGGATCTTGGTGTCTTCGTCCAGGTACAAGAGACTCGAAATTGAGATTGACGGAGTCTTTGCAGGAATCTCAAAAGTTGGAGAGAAAGTGAGAGAGACAGGTACAAATAGAATTCAAATATTCAAATAGTTTTTGCAAAATAGATACTATGTGGATCTATATGGTTCCATTTTTGCACAGCAAGGTGCGTTTGATGCTGCTGAAGAAAAAGAAATATGCGGCGATGAAGGCAATCAACCCTGCAGCCTGGATGTCTTCGAAGACTCTTGCTTCGATAAGTGAAGAGTTTCTAGTGCCAAAGGAGTTTGCCGATTCAAGTGCTGCAGGTGGTCGATTGGCAGAAGCAAACCTTTGAAACAGAATTCAAAGGCAGTGCCGGAGTGCCGTACATCAGAACATCGGTGCACAGCCGGACACACTCCGATCACACGATCTGATGCCAGGCTTGGACATCGTCCGACGTGATTGGTGTGGACTGGCGAAAGAAATGGGCGAGGCTGGCAGTGGCAGATGTCTTTCTGGTTCATCACAAGTTTGTGACCCCAAATCATCCGAAATGAAGTACTGTAATGGAGCGACCCATTGACCCATGGTCTTGGATGTTTGGTGTGCCCAAATTTGAAGAATCCCGGTTTTTGTTTGTCACGCGGATGTGGAGAGATTCTACTTTTTGGAGTGGCCAGACTTGGTTCAGAGTTACAACTTGGAGAGGCGATCTTGATGCAAATCTTGGATATGAAGTCGAATCAGGAGGAGTTTGCAGCTCAGGAAATATCCATGGAAATATCATGGAAATATCATGGAAATATCATGGAAATATCATGGAAATATCATGTTATATTCCTATAGTTTTCATGATTTTTCATGCAAGGCAGGATGAAAAAATGTCCTAAAGTTGGATCAAATCGATAGCAAGGTCCCTTGAGTGGGTACATCAATTTCTGTTGGACAAGTGCAAGGAGATGGACGAGGGCAAGGCAGGCGCTGCGATTCCATTTAAGTGAAGAATTCATGGTGGAATTGTGGATGATTCATCAACATATATATATTATATATATATATTATATATATATATTGGATGAATAATATGAATAGTAATCCGTTAGTATTCATTATCAATCATCTATTTAGTTGATGATTAACATATATTAACATCATCATGGATGATTCAGATTCAACTAAATGTTCACTAAATGACTATGAACAATTTATATGCATTATGGATTCCACCAATCAGCATAGGACTTTCACCCAGATTTCTATCGGAATTTCCTCCCTGAGGTCAATATGGAGAAGTTCGTCCTTACGAAAGGTCTCACCAAAGATCCGAAGGAACTGCTCCACGCTGTTGGATTCCTCGAAGCCACTGATGAGTGTCAACCGCAGGACTATCCTGATGCGAAGAAGCAGCCACACGTCCAGGTGTCAGCGTCAGCAAAGAAAACTTCTCAAGTGCCACGGTACAGCCACTGTTTGACAAGTTGGTGATGTGATCAGGTCGCCTTGCGGCTCATCTCTAGGGGTAAGCATGTCTCGACCTGAGAGCAACGCAGCAACACATCGGCTGGCAGAGTGTTGACCGACGGCATCCATAGATGTCCTTTTCCCATTGGTTGGTTGATTAATAGAGGGGTTTGAACAACCCCCTTTAACAACAGGTAAATGATGATAGATGGTATACCAGCTCCCGGCCCCTCTATTTTTACCAAAAGGACATTATTGACGGCATCCCTGAGGTTCGTCCAGGGCAGGAGATTGGATATGTCATTTGTGCTGATGGATCCGATGGATCCAAAGATCTCCTTGCCGAGCGTGCGCGGCATCCGCATGAGTTGGAGATGGACAGAGGGCCTCAATTTTTTTTGTCTGAAAATGATGGGAAAACATGGGGGAAACATGGGGAAACTCGAAAATCCAGTGGTTTATCATCATGTTTCCTATCAGAATATACAGTATAGCCATTTTGAGGAGGTATAGCCCATTTTCAGACCCAGATATGGCTTATTTTCGAGTCCAGAATTTTGCCATAGTTCAGGACAAGAGCTTGACCATTGATATCCAATGGTACAAGAAGCAGCAGGCGCATGGAAAATCAGTTCTCTGGTGTTGCCGGGGGCTATTAACCTACTTGGATCTACTTGGTACATCCTGGTGGATCTCTCAGGGCTTATCGAAACATATCGAAACCTTGGTGCCTTGGTGGCTCTGTTCATTGGGCCATGGATCTGCTGGATATGTCATAACTGGGGCAATGGATTACCCTCTGGTAACTTAACATAGCTATTGAAAATGACCAATTTATAGTGGAAACTAGTCTTCCAACCCCTATCTGGCAGGGTTTATGTTAATTTACTGGAGGGTATTTTCCATCAAACATGGCTCGGCCAGGCTTCCCAGCGATGTTTGATGACACCATCATGGGGCCATTCTTCAGCATTCTTTGGGATGAACCATTCATATATTATACTACCATATGGGAATCTATGATCCCAATCATTTATTTGAAAGAATAAGCATTCTTTACATTGATGATAGCCATATTCATCACCATGCCAATTACAGTTTGAATAGCATGATCCACGTTTATTCACCAAGAAATGACCATGATGATCCCTTAATCGCCATGATTTTTTTTACCAAGCAGCTCCCAAAGAAACGGCAGGTGCATCCGTTGGTCACTCGTATCCTGGCTGTGGTGGAAGGCACTAGTCCTGCACGACTGGCCGAGTGCATAGGCCGAGTGGGTCCCGGGTCATGAAAAATACCTCGTTATTCCCGTCCCATAAGAGATGGGTTGGTTCATAGATGTTCATAGTTATTCCTAAACCTGATGGATTATAGCTATAAACCTGATGGATTATAGCTATAAACCTGATGGATTATAGCTATTTATTAAATTTTATTAACATGGTTTTTTCAATCTCCTAAAATCCCTGTGAAACCAGGTGGTATGACCCCCAAATAAGAACCAACAAGGATATTTTTACGGCTCAGCTTGGGGTGTGACTGACGGCGGTCCCTTCTGGTGCTTGGAGTTTGTTTCTGAGATACAAAATATCCCATGAAAAGGGCCTGACTAGCAATATGTCTTTTTAAAAGGGGAGGCTGCTCACAAATTCCTTTGCTGTAGGGGCCATAAATCTCTAGCAAGCTGGACTCCTAAGATTGAAAGGAGAGAAGGTTCTGGAAGAATTTTGGAAGAACCCTAGTAGATATCTAGTAGTAGCGGGCCGCCAAATCTGAGGTCGACTTATCTACGGCTTGATTGGAAAGTGACAATCCATGACTAAGAAATACGTATAACTCTGACCCAGGAAAACGATACTGGACTTGGCGCTACCTCGGGACCTTGAGATACGATTCGTGCCAGTTTTGACTCGATACGAGCGTCCTCTGTACACATTGCGGTAAACACCACCTGTACATACCGGTACCTGAAAGACATTTAGCCCTCGATGTTTTCGTCTTAAGTCAAAACATGAAGAAATGTTGTCATTATATGTACGCATATATATATAGTTGTGCTTGAACATTTACTGTAGCTATCTTTACCGTACTCTTGTGACTCTTGTAGCGAAGTGTGCAATGCAATCCATTCGAACCCCAATGCAACGGAATGTTTCTGGTCGCGTATTTGTAATCAAGCAAGGTTTGAGTCGGGCCGGCTTAGACTCTGAAAATAGACTTGGGCTGATCTACCTATGAGAAACCTGGAAGCAAACCTCGAAAAACTCCGCACTTCTCAATACACAATCTCAGAAGATTGCCACCAGACGCGTTGCTGTCATCGCAATGCTGTCATCGCCGCGATGCTGTGCAGAAGATTCGCTCAGAGCAACCATTGAAGCCTTTCTGCCCATACACAAAGTAATCAAAGTACAAGCTAGATGTTGCAATCAGACCAAGAAAGTACTCATGAGCGACGTCCTGTCACACACATGGATGGTGCAGCTCATTCAACCGCGCAACCGCTGTTTCAGGCATTGACGCTGCCAGATTTTCGCAGGTGCCTCCACTTCAACTCACTTGCTGTCCAGAACCCCAATGGTTGATCATAACTTTCCCCATTTTTCCCATGGGATTTACAGTACACGTGTGTACACACATGTCTTGTTGGGGTAATATCCCATTGACACAGCGAGAGATTTTGCGGCACAAGGCAGCCCTTGTCAGAGCAGAGGAGAATGGACACTTGGCCGAGAAGCAACTTGAAGCCTTGCTATGCGTGGACAAGGAAAGTGTCTGTGGATTCGCCTTGAGGTGAAGTGCTTGAAAGCAACATGGTGATCGGCTGAGACAGAGATGACAGCTGAACAGCCACTGAAATCACTCGGATCCCATGACGAAACTGCCACACCCTGCCACCATTTCTGCTGCAGTCTATGGTCGGTGACTTGAATGCCATTTTCGCCATTCCCCCAGCCTGTGGCTATGTTTTGCTGCCTCGAACTCTATTGCTGGATTCAACAACCACATGTGACGGCTCTCAGCTGTTTGGTTTAAAGTTTACAGCTGTCCTGCTGGTTCTTTGGATGATTGAGGACCGCAAGGTTCGCTTCAAAGACTTCCCATCCATGCTGCCAGGGTTCAAGTGCAAATGTGAGTGCCTCAAGACGCTGGTGAAGTGGCGATCGAGTTGGGTTTCTCTGAAATGGGGTACGACCAAATCCACAGCTGAATCATTATCCCTGTTAGAATGGCCATCTGAATCCATTTCAGGGGTATATTGCATTTTCAGACACACTCCTTTGCAGAGGAGTTCTCCTGTTCCGCGCTTTGAAAGGTGGTGAAGTGACAAAGTGGTCACAGTTTGGCCCTTAGCTGCTAAAGCTCGCGCTTGGGGATCACAGCTGGGGATCGGTGGCTGGCAGTGGCTGGTGGTTTCAAGTCATCCGTTTTTTGAGCCAAGGTTTTTTGTCGCTGAATCCAAGGCTGGGTGGTGAAAAGACCCATGAGTTTTTGTGTCTACAACCAATCAGTGTGACGATTGTGACGCCAAGCTTGCGCAACTATCCAGGGAATTTCATTGGATTGGTTTAAGGGGAAATCTACAGGAAACCATGGTTTTTACCATCAAATATAGGGCTTTCCTGTAAATTTTCCCATCATCCAATTCTATGAGAATTGGAAGGAAATTGCGTTTCAGTCATTCTCGATTTGGACTCCGAGGTGTCGCTTCCGCTTTGTTGTCCTAGCTGCCAAACGCCAGCCCCATTCGCAGGAATCATTAGCATCCATGCATGCGTACTGCACAGGCTTTCTTTGGTTGCCGTGCACAGGAATTCACGACAAAATCTTGAGGTCAACTTGAAGCTTATGAGAAACCTTTGGTTCATGCAGCTCAGGCCATTTGCTTGGCCATGCGAACGTGTGTCATATGTCATCATGTTTAGCAACTGTGAGGATGGTGAGGTTTTGCCTTGGATGATTTGGCACCTATTTCACTGATATCATCATGAACCATGCACTTGTGTTGGGGATGTTCAGGCGAATGGTGAAAGAGCATGGTGAAGGCTTGTGACAAGAGGGCAGAACTGCTTGGTGGTTTCAGTTCTGTTTTTTTAAATATGTTTTTATATGTTTTTATCATTGAGAATGGAATTTAACTTGACAAAGCGAGGTTTCACCACCAAGCTTGCTGGTTTTAATATATTTCAAGTGTCCAACCACCAAAATGCGATCTCAGGGCTGCTATTGGGAAGCACTGGAGAGCGCCAGAGGAATTGGCAATCGAGGGATTCAGAAACCGATCTATCGCTGCGGACTTCGTGCAGGATGGGTGCAGACAGATGAGAGCTCTGGCATTGCGCCTTGCCTTCGGATGGTGTTGATATGTGTTGATTGTGCCTTCAGATGTGGGTATGAATCAATACCTATTAATACCATTTTTGGGGGAATGAACATCCATTTACCAGCTATTTTGATGTTCACCAGGGGTACAAGGTTTTGACACACTGCCATGTCAGTGAATCTGTGGAGATTTTTCTCCATAGCTTTTCTACTCCCTTGGAGTTAAGGAAAAGACGCAGCGCACCACCAAAGGACAAAATCTGGTCAGTGAAAAGACTGCCAGCCACCCAGCGCACCTGTGGAGATCGGTGGAGAATGGGCAGAAGTTTCCGATTTGAGGTCTACAGGGAGTTGGAGTTCGCCACCCACCTCTGTGAAACGGCAAAAGAATCTGTCACGGACAAGGCCACAGACGCTGATCGTGCTTAGCATCCACAGATATTCCACGGATGCCAAAAAAAATTCTGCCAGGACCCGACAGCTCAGGAGACTGTCGAAAAGATGAACAAAGTGCAGATCTCGGGACAGAGACAGAGGCTGTGATGTTTTGAGATTTAAAGAATTTTAAGAATGTTAAGATATCTTCTAATGAACAAACATGGCAATAATATGCAATAATTTAATAAACAATTCACAAAATGTAGATGCATTTGCTGGATGTTTACATCCTTTAACGGGCATTCCCATTGCCGTCACGGGTGCGCCACCGATCTCAGGACGCGAGCCTTTGGCTTGGCTACAGCAGCCTCGGGCTCAGATCATCAAATGATTCGCAAGCCAGTTCTGCTGACCTCTTCCTGTTGGTCGAGGTTTTGTTTTCCTGAAACTCATCATGGAACAACCAACAGATAAATGATGGTAAATGATTGGTAAATGGTAAATGGTATAGGAAGCCAGCCCCGTGTTTGCGTGGAAAGCTGGCGTTCCATGCCTTGTGATATTTTGTGGTCCTGAGGCCACAATTATTTGGATGTCGGGCAGTTGTTCGGCTCTTTGGCGTGTTTCCCTCAAATGTAGTCGAGGCAGTGGTCTTGATCTTGTCATGCGACATGCTGCGACAAATGCTTCAAAGTCTTCTAGACCAGACCTTCCCAAATCCCGTTGATTTCGTTGATCATGAGTTTCCCTAATATCTTCCCCATTAAGATTGCCATTTTTTGGACACACTGCTTCTACATGGACGAGACGATCCAGTCAGGGCGTCCTGAGTGGAATGTGAAGCATTCATTTGTTATCACACAGTCAAGTGTGACAGAAATTGGCAGCTAATTCATGTTTATCTATTGATTTATTTATTTATTCATGATTTATATGAATCATATATGGCTTTTGGATTATGATGAATCAGATTAACCATGATGACCCACAACTCGAAAGGTTCTAAGTCCAGCACTTTGTTTGTGTGACACGTGACACAAACGTTACACTTGACGGGGCTGGTGGGTTGGACAGACAGGGGTGGATCTGCCACAAAGTTGGGCGCGCCGATAGCTGGGGGGAAGCTGCGGCGCGAAGCGACGTTGCCGTCGATCAAAAAGGTGGCCCCAGGGGTCAAGAGGTGTCCATCTGTTTATTGCCAACAAATATTCAATGGATTGGTTTAAGGGAAAAATTACAGGAAAACCCCATATTTAGTGGGAAAATCTGTGGTTTCCTGTAGATTTTCCCTTAAACCAATCCATTGAAATATTGTATAGGCATACGAGATGTTACAAACACCGCACATTGAAAGAATATGCACTGATACGCGCTTGCAAAGAGATACATAGACGATCATAGACGCATATCTTGTCTTTGTGTGATATGAATGTTGTCAGGCAACACATTCAGAAAAGATCAGAAAAGGATAGGATCCGACGTCATTTATCTGTGGCTCAGCGCCTTGCCACTAAATGTGTTCAGCACGAAAGGCTCAAACAGCCGGCAGTAAAATGCAGTGAGGTCCCCCTTGAACTGCAGCAGTGCAGCAGTGAGGAGCCACTGCATTGCCAAAGTGCCATGCCGGGAATGCTTTTTACACCACTTTTGTCCAGGCCGATGGAATGTATGGGAGGTTATGATGGGAATTTGAAATAGGAAGCCTTACAACCTTACAAAGCCTTAATTGGCTGGCAGGTTTGTCTGCATGTGTGCTGGCTATGGAGCACCAGCTGAAACTCCAGCAGACAAGGTGTCTACAAAGAGCAACTTGGTTTTTTGAGTCTCCGCTGAAATCATGGGGACCTCTGTCAACATCTGGGGAGATTTTGAGATGGTGCCCTTGTTTGTTTCTCTCCACAGAATTCAGATCCTGCAATATCCGTCCAAAAAAAAAGTGGAGTTGTCCAGATGTGTCTCTTTTCACGATTGTATAATTCATACACTTGCTTTGCATCAATTTGCCAGGTATATCAGATTCAAAGGCACCAACATTGCTGCAAAAGCAAAGCTGCCGCGAGGCTTGACCATTCCAAACACTCCCTCAGCGCACATGATGATCATGATGTGACCGATTCCGAGCCGCTTCATTGGTTCTGGGGTTCTGGTGGTTTCCAATAATTACTCTTGACTCTTGACATCTCTTGACATCTCTTGACATCTCTTGACATCTCTTGACATCTCTTGACATCTCTTGACATCTCTTGACATCTCTTGACATCTCTTGACATCTCTTGACATCTCTGACATCTCTTGACATTCCTGGGAGCCTGATCCTGGATGGCTGTTTAGATACGTGTCGTAGGTAACCGAAGCACCGGCCCCATGTCCATGATTCTTGCACTCTTGCAGAGGTTCATATCGACAAAACGACCACCATTCCGCTGGAGTTGTACTGGGAGCTGATCAGGGCAGGAGAACGAGCTAAAGAAAGGGGTCAGCACCAGTTGACAAAGGCGGATGGGCGTGTTTGCTCAGCTGGAAGCAACTGCAAAAAGAGAGTTGATGCGCTTCATGTGTAAGATACAATTGGATTATATGTATTGCGCCCCTGAAACGGGGAGAGAGATATGCATATTATATATATATAATTATATATATAATACAGTTATACACCATCGGACCATCACTGGACTATGTGCAAAAAGAAACAAAAAGATATCTAGTAGCACTACGGCACAGTTTTTTTTGTTTTTTGTCAACGCAGCTGTGCGGTTCCCCGATGTGATGATTATAGGCTCAACCCCCGATCCATGGGATCGCTGACCGCAGGGCAAGCGGCATGTCGGTATGCACCTCATAATGAGCAACTGAGAGGCCACGGCGGTGACTGAAAAGGACCGAAGTAACACGTCGCGGTTACTGGCAAGTGCAGTGATTTCTGATGTTCGCAATTTAATGTCAGTTTCATGCCTTCCTTTTTGATGTTTCTATGTGTGTTCTGGTACTCAACTATTGCTAGGGCGCTACGATTTCCGTTTGAGCGAGTACGTATGTTCCGTCCAACTCTGCAAAGCAGCACAGCAGGGACACGTTTTGGGACACCTGTCAGCCAAGATGGCGAAGCTCTCGAAAGATTTGTCGAATGTTTAGAAAGTGGAGCTGTTGGATTAGGATTCAAGGAGAGCGACAGCCAGTTCCAAAGATCAGAGTGTCCAGATGGGTTGAGATGAGAGGAACACACTGAGAAAACAAAATAGGAGGTTTAAAGATGCCCCAACTTAGCCACAAGTTCTAGGCCTCTAGGCTAGGTCCATGTGGTCCATACAGCTCGACTGTATTCTCTACATCTCAGCTCATCTGAAGAGCCAGCCAGTGTTTGAAGGTTTCGTTTCGTCTCACGTTGTCAAAGCCAAGTCTCAATTGTCTCAATTCAACTTCAGCACGGCACATCGGCGCAATAAAGCCGTCGGGTTCGTTTGCGTATTGATCGTATTGCATTGCTTCTCCAGCAGGCCCCGCCTCACACTGAAAAAGTTCCAAGCAATTTGGTTGACTGGTTGACTATTTGGACTTCGAATGAAATGGGATGCCAGCCTTATTGTGGTTGTTTCGTTTGTTTTGCTTGATTGGGAAGCCACTTTGAAGTGCAGTGTGAGCGCCGCTTCGATTGCATTTCACGTCTCACCAATTCATGATTCCCCCTGCCATTTTCTGCACGCGAGTTGTAGGATCAACATGCGATGATTGAAATTGACGTAACCAGTCTTTCCATTCTTGATTCTTGACACAATTCCGCCACTGAGAATATCAGCAAGTGAAAAATGATGGATAGATTGCAGATGGCGGCAGGGAAAAGAAGTTGAGCAAGACCATCAGGTACTTCTCAAAGTCTGCATCATGTGAGCATCATGTGAGCATGAAGTTCGATGAAGCTGAGCATGCGATGCAAAAAAGCCTGCACAGCAAGATGGACAGGACCTGGAGGGAAATCAACTGGCAGCACGTGAAAAATGCGTTCGTGCTATGAACGTGTATTCCTTGGCGATTTCAGGCCCAAAGACCATCAAGTGCGGGAATGGAACTGGTCATTTGTAGATCCACTTTGAAAACAGTGACGGAAAGAAGGGAAGTTGAAGTAGCATCACCTTTTCTTTTTTTGGAACGCAAAGACGGAAATGCAAAGGAAACCTTAGTCACATGAGCCGTCATGTTTCTTGACATTTGAATCATTTGACAATGGTGTCTGGCCTGGATCCAATGACATTGCTATTGCTATGACATTTGCGTTGGGATGCCGTCCCATTTCACAGGACAGAGATGGACAGAGTAGAAAAAGCAGTGAGAGGTGTTGACTGTGTTGATATACTGAGCGCAATTTGCAACTTAGAGGTCGAAGTTGGACAAGTGGATTCAAGCACTTGCCCTTCCCATCCTCTTGCATTGCATAGCAAGTCTTCATTTTTTGATCTAGCCTAAGTCCAGTGTTCCCAAGGAGACAAACCAACCTAGAACGCCTGCACAAAGGAGTTCTATCATTGATATCAACAGTGAATTGGTTGGGAAAATCTCCGGCAGTTGCCCCGTTTTTTTGGTCGCAAAAACCCATGGTTTCCTGTAGATGTTCCCTTGAACCAACCTATTGATCTCAACCAGGGTGCGTCCTGAGGATGGCAAGCAGGGTCCTGTACCATCCAAGCCTCCCTTGTGTTGGACTGAGTTGGATGTAATACCACCCAAATGAATTTGAGAAAGTCCTGCAAGCAAGCAACAATATATATATATATGTATACACACATATATATATACATATACATATATATATACATACACATATTGTGTACCTATATAATTATATATATATATATATGTATATATGTGTTCCAGGCTTTCCTTGGTCCAATGGAACCGTTGGCTTAAGGCCCAGCCTGGTGCGGGCTGCAAGACAGGGCTGGGTTCCAAGCTCTTTCCTCATCGTGCGAATTCTGGACAACAGTAAGTTTTCAGTGCACAGGTCTAGATGTCCAATCATTTGCTTGACGGAACCGGTGTGTTCTTGAACCCTGGGATACCGTAGCCTGGTGCTGGGTCTCATTCCGGTGTTCCGGGATTGGAAAGGCCCGGAATGCCTGGTTCCTTTGTCCTTGGCCGAGCAGAATGACTGCAATGCTACGCTGGACAGCTCCAGTCTTCTTCAAGATGTGTTGTGTGCGCTTTGCTCAGCTCTTACAGAATATTATATTCTATGTACATACATATACATATACATATACATATATATATATATACATACATGCATATTATTTATATATATATACACATAATAATAATAATAATAATAATAACCACATGATAATAATAACAATAATAATAATAAGTATTGTTATGTATTATTTATTTATTTCTTATTATTATTTAATTTATTTGAATTATTTATTATGTATTGTTATTATGTTTTAATTCGTACTGTTCGTATTACTATTATTGTTTTTATTTATTATGACATGATTTTTGCAGACACTTGCTGTTACCTTCCTCCTCTGTGCAGGACATAGCTTTTAGTTGGGAGCAGCCTGTGGATCCAGCCAAGCTCACCGAGTCACTTGCGAAGGCCGGACATCCAACCACTGAACATGTTCCTCTTAGAAACAAAAGAACTGTCCGGTTTCCATATTTATAAATATTATATATATGGTATATCTTTAGTATGGTATATATTGCATCATACTGCATCATACTGCATCGTACTGCATCATACTGCATCATCATTTCTGGAGGCAGAGTATGGACAAAGTCCTTGCTCAACATGGCAGGCCTTGAGCCTTTTTCCTTGCTGTGCTGGCCGCTTTGTCACTCGAGACGTAGTCCTCTCCTCGGTAGATGCGCGACAGATACAAGATGACAGCTGTGGTACTTACCAGTGGTTAGTGACCGTTAGTAATTGAGAAGAGTGTCTCGTTGTCTTGACATGTCTTGACAAGACCTGCATTGAACCAAGTTGGTGGAACCTGCTGCGGGGGCAGTACCCTTAGATGTTCAGCATGTCATCAATTCATCATGTGCGAGATGCTAGAGACAAGACAGCAGAAAAACGGACAACTCCATGCAGCTCCTGTTTCCCAAATAGTCGCCGGAGATTTTGTGCCTGCGCTTCCTAGCGTCCTACCTCTGGAGCTGGGAATCTTTGCATGGCAGCAATTTGTTTTTGTTGGGGTGTTATTGTTAATTTGTCCTTTGTGTTTACCAGTGTTTAGATCAGCTGATCATGGCTGATTTGTTTCTCTCCTTACCCTCTGGTAAACTAACATAGCAATGGAAAATCACTATTTTTAATGGGAAAATCCACTATAAATGGCCATTTTCAATAGCAAACTGTTAGTTCACCAGAGGGTAGTCTGAATTGCTCCAGGTGACTCTGAAGCAACGGAGAATGTGCATTCTCTGCAACAATGCCCGGGATGCCCAGGGATGCCCAATTTTGTGCCTTCCTGTCTGGTGGTTTTGAAGATTTCTGAAGTGGATTTCCCAGGGGAACATCATCCCGATGTTACCCGGCCTGGTAAACTAACAGTTTGCTATTGAAAATGGCTATTTATAGTGAGTTTTCCCATTAAGAATGGTGATTTTCCATAGTTATGTTAGTTTACCAGAGGGTAATCCCATTGATTGTTTCAAATATGATATTGAATATCCTGATTGTTTCATATTGATCTTAAAATCTCACCAGATGTGGCTTCACATGTTCGACAACAGCCTTCAAAGGCCTGCCTTTGATGAGGCTGGGATCAGTTTCTCCAACAGCCACTACAATGGCAAGCGGCCGTCTGTTGGAGACCTATGGGTATGTAGCAGAACTTCGGGGATCATGGGCATCGCAGATTTTGGTACATGCATTATCATGTCTCATTATTTACATGCATTATCATTATCATGTAGTATTATTTAAATGCATTATCATGTAGTATTATTTACATGCATTATCATGTAGTATTACTTACATGCATTATCATGTAGTATTACTTACATGCATTATCATGTAGTATTATTCTACATGGATTCTCATGTAGTATTATTTTACATGTATTACTGTATCATGTAGTATTATTTACATGCATTATCATGTCTCTCTATTTACATGCATTATCATGTAGTATTATTTTACATGTATTATCATGTAGTATTATTTACATGCATTATCATGTAGTATTATTTACATGCATTATCATTACCATTCATTGTTGGGTGGAAAGTTGCCCCATAGCCACATGGCACAAGTTCCAAAAGTGTCGGATTGCGTTGCGTTCTGAGGTGATTGGCCCTATGACGGGTCTGTTTGACCGCGCGGTTGGCACCACCGCGAAAGTGCATGCCTGAAACTAATATGGAGACATTGTAGACACTGGACCTGGGTGGTTCTTGTAGTCCTGATAATATATGATAATATATGATAGTATTTGAAAAATATTCGATATATGATCATATATGATAATATGTTTTTACATATATATATATAGATAGATAGATAGATATAGATAGTTGCCTGAAAATGAACGATCCAATGCAATCCTCAACCCAAGGTTTTGGGGTAGAGGGAAGGGCTTACATCTTAACAGTCACTTGCTTTGCCTACCCCTCAGGTGGATGGATGCGGGGGACCACTCTTGAGAGCCTGCTTCCCTGTGATTCTCGATGTCAGGGTCGGGACAGCCCAACAGCCAAAACGATGATGCTTTTGAAGCCGAGGTGAAGCTGTTGAACTGCCAGGACTCAAAAGGGCGGGACTGCAGAGCAGGTCATGCCCAATGCCACGTGACTGCCGGCGCTGCCGGATGGGTTCAGGATGGCCAGATACTGGCACTGAGCTTCTCCCAGGGTCTTGCAGATGTCAAAGCCATCGGTCGTCTCGGCGAGATTTGCAGATTGGGACGGATTGGGACGGATTGGGACGGATTGGAATGTCACGGGATGCCACGTAAATCATGACGTTTGGTCCTCGTGGCAGTTGCAATCGCCAGGTCTTTTTGTGGAAGCTTGGGGCAAGTATCACTGTGGAGAGGACAGCAAAGTCGTCGAACAGAATGGATGTAGTGACTCTAGTGCCATCTAATGCCATTTCCAGTGGAGCCATAGCCATAGCTGAAGGAACCTTCCCACAGTTCCGACAACTCGCGCACAATTCTGGAAGGTGCTGTCAACAATGCCAGAGCCTTGGGGCCTTGGGGTGCTCTTTCGGTTTGAGAAAGTTTCCAGAAAAAATCAGCGACCGCAAGAAACTCCAAGTATTAAGCAGGTTGCTTATGGTTGCTTGGTTTTTTTGGCCTTCATTCACTTTCAGTTCCAAGATCAGTTCGAGCAGAAGTGAGGGTGTTAAAATAGTTCACTCCAGTTGGCAACGCAAATTCCAGTTGGTAGTGTTTTGGTTGATATTGAACGGGCATGGCTAAGCTTTTGCCGGCAATTCAAGGGCCTTAGTGTAGTAATTTTCCTTGGATCAGCGCCTAGGGATTCCCAAAGCTGGATCCTTGCTTCACCTACCTTCACAGACGAGAGCCTTCCAGCAGTGTCAGAAGCTCAGTACAGAAAGCGCTGTCGTCCCTGGGATGATCAATCCACTTCTCTATAGTAACTATAGTATCCTTGAGAGGTTGATTCAACGACCAATCAGAAAATTATAGAAAACCGCAGAAGCATCCTGAGAATTTTACGAGTGAATCGACTTATTTTCTTTCACAGTTGCTTTGCACGTGTAGTTCCACTCGTTCTTCAAGTCCCAGATCCTTGTGTCTAACCTGACAGATCAAAGCAGTTTCAGTGGGTTTAGATACAGAATATGCAGGAATTGTCACCATGATCACTATGATCAAAATGCAACATGTAGAGACGGTACTATTGAAAACTGGGTACCCCGTGCCATGTCAGCTTGAAACCAGGAAGCCACCGCATGCTGAACCGTATTTAAATGTGCTACAAAAACGCTTTAGCAATTTTAGCAAGAATTGTTTCCAATGAACATGAAACCAGTACAAACAGAAGCCTAGCGCAATCCACATATATCCACATCATGTTGTTAATCATCGAGTATCAATTTTTCCCCATAATTTTTTGTTGTTAGTATTTTTTGGTATTTTTTCCAGCAAAATCTGTCGCGGTCCAGACCATGAGTGCAGCCAAAGCTGCCGCAGCAGCTGCTGAAAGGCTGGGTGCCAGCAGCTCAGTGGTGAAGAGACTTGGGCAGTCAAAAACCCACAGCAGTTGGTTAGTTTTTATATGTTTTTATAGGGATTCACATTATGTAAGGTTTTTTGCAGTTTGTATAGGTTTATGGGGATTAGCAGGATTTATAAGGATTTCACAAGGATTTATGTTTTATCAGGGTTTATACTGACTTTATCAGGATTCACAAGGAATTCTGAGGGTGTTCTAAGGATTTATTGGGATTCTATGAGGATTCATAAGGCTGATTTATAACGAGTTTATACGTTTTATGCGAATGTTACAAGGATTTGAAAGGATGTTTTGAAAAAATATAAGGATTTATAAAGAGTTATCACGATTTGAGGTGTACAAGGATTTTGTCAGGATTTACAGTGATGTTATAAGGATTTATAAGGATCTTAAAAGGATTTATTTCTAGGGAATTACACGGTGTTATACTACCTGGTTTAAGGGGATTCTCATAACCTATCAATGTGAAGCCCAATCAAACAATTCGTAGAAAAGCATTACAGAAGGTTTTGAACATGTCTTGAACAGTGCTCAAATGGATGGCGGGGGCCACTCGCACTTTTGAGGTCACGACCTTCTTGCTCAAATGGGAAGAGTGAAAATCTTGGAGACCCAGAATGATGGTGAAACTTTCAAGTGTCAAGTGAGTTGTAGTTACGCTTTGGCATGACCAAAAGTGCACGATGTTGTGCGCAAATAAGGCTCAATCGCTTGGGGGAGACCTTCTCGCGAAAGCTAAGAGGTTGGTTTTTTCGCGACCGCCAACTCTGTCTAGCCATAAACCACTGCACCACTGCAGGCAGGCGATTGATATTCGATTCCGAAAGCCTGTCGCATGACGAGGCGGAGATGGACTTCACTCCAATCTGAAAGTGTTTTTTGCAAGTCTACAAAATGCAATACAGTATATAGTATATACATATATATATATATAGATATAGATATGCGTGTAATCAAATCATATATATATATATGCATTGTATGTAATGTAATGTAATGTTATGTAATGTTATGTTATGTCATGTAATGTAATGTTATGTTATGTAATGTTATGTTATGTAATGTATATATGTAATGTATGTATGTATGTATGTAATGTATGTAATGTATGTAATGTATGTAATGTATGTAATGTATGTAATGTATGTAATGTATGTGACTGTAATTAATTTGTACTCATGTCTGTCCCTGTCTGTCCTGTTTCTTCCTGTCCTGTCTCTGTGTGTCTGTCTGTCCTGTCTGTCCTGTCTGTCCTGTCTGTCCTTTCTGTCCTGTCTGTCCTGTCTGTCCTGTCTGTCCTGTCTGTCCTGTCTGTCCTGTCTGTCCTGTCTGTCCTGTCTGTCCTGTCTGTCCTGTCTGTCCTGTCTGTCCTGTCTGTCCTGTCTGTCCTGTCTGTCCTGTCTGTCCTGTCTGTCCTGTCTGTCTGTCCTGTCTGTCCGTCCTGTCTGTCCGTCTTGTCTGTCTGTCTTGTCTGTCTGTCTTGTCTGTCTGTCTTGTCTGTCTGTCTTGTCTGTCTGTCTTGTCTGTCTGTCTTGTCTGTCTGTCTTGTCTGTCTGTCCTGTCTGTCTGTCCCGTCTGTCTTGTCTTGTCTGTCTGTCTTGTCTGTCTGTCTTGTCTGTCTGTCTTGTCTGTCTGTCTTGTCTGTCTGTCTTGTCTGTCTGCCTGTCTTGTCTGTCTGTCTTGTCTGTCTGTCTGTCTGTCTTGTCTGTCTGTCTTGTCTGTCTTGTCTGTCTTGTCTTGTCTTGTCTTGTCTTGTCTTGTCTTGTCCTGTCTTGTCTTGTCTTGTCCTGTCTGTCCTGTCTGTCCTGTCTGTCCTGTCTGTCCTGTCTGTCCTGTCTGTCCTGTCTGTCCTGTCTGTCCTGTCTGTCCTGTCTGTCCTGTCTGTCCTGTCCTGTCTGTCCTGTCCTGTCCGTCCTGTCCTGTCCGTCCTGTCCTGTCCTGTCCTGTCCTGTCCTGTCCTGTCCTGTCTGTCCTGTCCTGTCTGTCCTGTCCTGTCTGTCCTGTCCTGTCTGTCCTGTGCCTTTCCGGTCCTCGGCTGGCGGGCTGGCTGGCTTGGCTGGCTGTCTGTCTGTCGGAGTCCTGCCTGTCTGTCTGTCTGCCGTCTGTCTGTCATGTGCTGTCCTGTCCTGTCCCTGTCCTGTCCCTGTCTGTTCTGGTCTGTCTTCTGTCCCTCTAATATATATATATAGATATTATTGTTATATATATATAATTGTATTTGGATCTAGGTGCATTGTACTCGTAGAACGGACATTTGTAGCATGCATCGGAAGCTTAGGTGGCCTTCGCTATTGTGGCTGCGCCCCCATTCGCTGCAACGCCAAAGAACAACCAGCAATGGCATAGGAAGCAAAGAGGGCTAGGACGGTTGCTGAGACAGATGAGGCAGCTTCCAGATGTGACTAGTGTGACTGGTGCCCAAGGTTGAGTCTTTGGGCAGAGCTGTCTCGGCAAGTGTTTGGTTTTGCGCTGAGATTCTACTGAAAGATGTGCACCTGACAACCACAGAAAGCCCATGCGGATGTTCTTGTGTGTGTGTGTGTAACATCTGAATAGATGTAAAACTTCTTCTCTCTCTTTTTCTTCCTTTGTCCTCTCCCTTTCTAATTCTAAATTAAATTTAATGCAGGGGGCCACCGGGTTCCCGGGGGGGTCGGTGGCCACCGAAGACACCCCCCCGGGACCCGTGTAAACGTACCTGCATTATTCGTAGGATGCATCGTTAATTTCATTGTTTCGTATCTAATCTGCATGTTTCAGGATTCAGTTCCTGCCGGATCATATAATGATCCATTCTTGTCTAGTGTGATTTCCATGGTGGCTCCGACATGGTGCCATGGAGCCATTTGAGGCAACCCTCTTTAGGGTGAGTGATGACTGTCCTGACTGCCGAATTTACACATTTTAATTTAGTAATTCGTTTAAGTAAAGGGCAACAATCAGCCTTGCGGTTTATCAGCCTTTTCGAGAGTCCCGCCGCTCCTATTGTCCCAGGGACCCCAGTGCTGCGTTCTTTCAAGGGAAGCCATTCTGAATGTTCTGAAACCTCCATTTTTTGCAGCAACGTTTGCAGTGCTAGTGCATCATGTCATGACATATGAATCAGGCAGGCACACGTCTTGCAGGTGTGGTATTCTTCTTTTTGATGGTTGTCTGGTGAGGTGAAACATGTTGTGCATCTAATTCGATGGAACTTGAAAGCTGTTTTATGCCAATTGGGGCAAGACTTGACCACGGTCCCGGTGAAGGGAACAATCGCACGACCTTTAGGCATTTAGGGACTGAATCCTGTTTTTAATTAATTGTTTTGGTTTTCCTGTCGGTCATCAACTAGTCCCCCATTTGGTCCCTAATTTTCCCCGCGTGCCTCTCCGTAATGTGTCGTGGGGTTTAGGTGTGTGCGCTGTTTTGTTCAGGTCCGTTTCGCCGTGTAGGTTGGTTCCGGAGGTCCGTCTGTTCCCCTCCCCCCCCTGCGCTGTTTTTGGCCGTTTGCCCTTCGTGTGTCCGCTTTTTTCTTCCTCTTGCCTTTCAGGGTTGACCCGGCTCCGGCCGGGTGTGTGTGTGTAACATCTGAATAGATGTAAAACTTCTTCTCTCTCTTTTTCTTCCTTTGTCCTCTCCCTTTCTAATTCTAAATTAAATTTAATGCAGGGGGCCACCGGGGTCCCGGGGGGGTCGGTGGCCACCGAAGACACCCCCCCGGGACCCGTGTAAACGTACCTGCATTATTCGTAGGATGCATCGTTAATTTCATTGTTTCGTATCTAATCTGCATGTTTCAGGATTCAGTTCCTGATGGATCATATAATGATCCATTCTTGTCTAGTGTGTGCTTTGCTGTTGAAATCCGTTCATACACACATGGCACAGATACCACGCATTTGTATAGCAGAAGTTGAACCTCACATGTTGATCAGACAACCGAAGGTGCCGAGGCGTTTTTTGTGTGGCCGCGTGATCCGGAAGCAATTGCAATAGCTATTGAGCTTCAGCTTGGGTGGACCTTTATTGCTCTCTAGAATCCTATGTTTTTCCACGTTTTTCAAAGGGACCTAAAATCGGTGAAGTGGCCAAATTTGGGCTCAACATGGCCCAACATAGGCCCAACTTGGGCCCAACATAGGCCCAAACTGGCCCAACATATCACAACATAGGCCCAACACAGGCTCAACATGGCTCAATATGGGCCCAATATGATTCAACACGGCCCAATATGATTCAACACGGCCCAATATGATTCAACATGGCTTCAAGATATGCCCAACATGGCCCAGCATGGACCCAAAACGGCCCAAGATGGGCCCAACATACTCTCAAAATCAGCTCTACAAAGGCCGAACATAGGAAAAATATCATCAAATATGGTTTTATTGGAACTCCGGAGCTAACACTCCGGTGCGGGCGGTTGTCGTAGGTTGTCGTAGGCGAAGCAACCAGAATACAGATCAGTGACTGGGGTGTGGCTGAGTGCTTTGATGGGCCAGATGCCAAGCCACGTTCATGGGGGGTCACATCTTTGCCTCATTGGCATTGGCAATGTAGTTATGAGATTGTCAGCGTGGCTTGGAAGGTAACTATCAAGGGAAATTGATCGCACGATGCAATGTGCTGTACTGCAATGTGGTGCAAATTGTAGACGTGTTGCTTGATGTCATATATATGCACGCAATGCATGTCCATGTGATTATCATATGCATACATAAAATACATATACACTGTATATAGTAGCATACTATACAGGTTATGCCATGTTATTCGAAAGAATTGCTGCCATGATATATGATGATATATGGTTGAATCGCATGGTCATGCAATCTACTGTGTAATGACTCCCGGGCCACAATGCTTGGAAATCTGCGTACATCAGTAGATGGATGAATAAATGTATTGCTGACAGAGAATGAACCCTCCGGAAATGAGCACATATGAAAAATACCATACCACCACAAAAAACAAGATGCGGTCTATTTTGGCACACAGGAGCTACGTATGTTGAATACGCATGCATCCATCCATTTGACACTTCCCAGACAGCATTGTTGAATGACATGAAAGCATGTTTGACATGCTGAAAAGTGTTTCAGGGAATGGAGGGATCTAGGTCGATGATCAGGTGTGACAATTTAGCACTACGGCCCAGGCTTGATTACAGAGCTACCTTCGCCTACGACAGAATGTTTGGACACGTCTTGGCCTTGGTCACACAAGAATGTGTCCTCGAGGGTAAAGATGTGCAGACGCAACATGAAACATTTCATAATTTCTATATACATTTCACTGGCAGAACGGCTCAGATGAACTTGCTTGATATACCCAAACAGGTTCGCGGTGTTGCTGACGTCGACCTGCCATCAGTCAGGTTCTAAGCGTTTGAACGAAGGTGTAGGTGTGACCATGGCGGCTTCATATGAGACTTCTATTTCGAAGAGATGCTTCCGAAATTTTCCCAAATATGTTTGGAACTGAAATTCCTGAAAATTCCAATCTGTAACATCTGGTAAACTAACATAGCTATGGAAAATCACTATTTTTAATGGGTAAATCCACTATAAATGGGCCATGTTCAATAGTTATGTTAGTTTACCAGAGGGTAACATTTGTAACAAAATAACCAGCAATTGGTACAGTTGGCACAGGATTGAATTGATATGTCATGTCCTCCTTGCATCCAGCTTTTGAGCCACCGCTTGCAGCTGCTTGCATCGGTCTCAGGATGCCTTGAAAGCTGCTTCTGCCCGGCTCTTGCGACAAAGTGATAAAGCACGCCAGAGATTTGGGGGTGCTACAACTTGCAAAGAACATGGGATGAATCAGTTGCAGAATGTTGCTAGAACAGCAAGACTTATGTGCCTTCAACAGCTCTGACATAGCAGCTCAGGTGATCCGAAAGAAGCTTCAGATTGCGCGAGAAAATCCAGATTTTTGGTGCTGGAAGGCCAGCAAATCTGAACTGCGAATGTTTGGGAACAGACTTCATAGCTGAATCTCAGGCACAGCAGAGCAAGAGCTGTCCAGTTGTGAACCTTGGCTAAGCTTGGCAGAACTTGGGGTGAGAGCTGAAGGGCTGGAATTTTGACTGACCTTTTCTGAGGCCAAGTTCAGAAATAATTTTCTGCTCCTGGCTGGAGGCCCTTTCGATTGTGTTGGTCGTATCCCCCTTGTTGGTATGAGGATACTCGTGACTGTTAGGATCCCCTTGAAGGCGACAAATGCTTCTAGCCTTGGATATTATCCCCAACAAATTTTGTGTGTATATATATATATATTATGATATGTGATGTACGATATATGACATATGATATATATTGTTATATGCTACACGGTATACGATATACGATGTATGATGTTAAGAAATGTCCCTATGATTGTACATACATACTACGGAGATATCCCCAACATATCCTAGATATTCATATTGGTACTAAAAAGGTTAGAATAAGAAATGTGTTGCAAATATCCCAAGAAAAACCCAGTTGCCATTGCATTCATTTAACGAGGTTTGTCTGGAAGGGTACCCAAATTCTGATTGGTTATCATCACTTTGGCCATTACCATTTGAGTGTATCCCCTATTCCTCAGTTGCATACAAACCTGACATATACCCTCTGGTAATCTAACATAGCTATTGAAAATGACCATTTATAGTGAGTTTTCCCATTAAAAATGGTGATTTTCAATAGCTATGTTAGTTTACCAAAGGGTATGTTCGATGATATGTTCAAAATCAAACATCCATCACGTTACCCCCACGGCCCACGGCGGGGGGATCATCAGCCAGTCGCCTTCTAGGCGGCCGACTTGAAGGCCTTCTCCTTCGGGAGTACGCCCTCTGGCGCAGGCCGATTTTTTCACCATGTTTTTTGGGTGGATGAGCTATGAATAGGCCATAGATGGCCATAGAATCAATTAAAAACATAGCGATCTTGAATTACTAGAGGGTACAGTATGTCCTAGATGGTTGATGGTGAGTTGTTGCTTGGTTGGTTGATGATGGCTGGTGGTTGCAACGTTGCGTGCTGGTACAAAGGTGGCAAAATCAGCATGTCGCGGTGTCTCCAGGTCTGGGATGCAGCTTTTGGCACTGGTGGGCACACACTCCAGAGGCTCCGATTAAAGAATTTCCGAAAATTGGCTTGGAGGTTTGTTTGTTTTGCCCTGGAAGTTGACACGTGTACCATGCAACATCAATGAATTGAAGTTTTTCCATATGCCATATGTGTCTCATTTGCCATTCACTCTCCAACCTATAGCCTGCTATAGCTGCACTGTAGCCACAACCTGGGCACCTGGGCTTTGCTTACTCGAGGCACGCCTAAGATCTGGTGGAGGTGGTGCTGTTGGAGCCAATGGCCGAGGATGTTTGACCCCCAGTTCTCCATTGAAGCCTTGAGCCGCAGTCGAAGCAGATTCCTTAAGGTCCTTCGTTAGTTGTTCTTCTCCCACATGAAGATGGTGTTCAGGTGCAGGCAGGACAGTTTCAGGAAGCATCGCAAAATTGTGGATGTTCAAGAGCGAATCCTTGGCAACTTTACAGGCACTCCTGCCACAGAGTGCGGCGTCAAAGCTTTGTGCAAAGCACAATTGCCTTGTCTATTATCCATAGTTAGCGTCGCAAAAATTATATCTTTTAAAAGATAATAAAGAGAAATAAATACAAAATAATAATTCAATATATTAAGAATAAAATTAATAAGAATATATGATATTATATAATTTAAATAAATATATATATATATTATAATATGAAATAATTATTTTTATAAAATATATTTAAATAAATAATATTCGATTTAAATTATCTATGATATATATAATTTTATTACATAAAACGGGACACCTGTCGAAAAAATGGGCGCCCCTGTCGGAAACCCGTCACTTGTAGCCGGAATTGAGCTAATACATTATGTAATTATGCTAAAAGGCCTAAATTTTCCGGAAATTTTGGACGAAACCCCGAATTTTGACGGAAATTTGGCGATTTAGGAATTTCCTAAAGTGGTAAATTTTCCGGAAAATTGGTA